GACCTGGGCACCGTAGGTCAGAATGCCAGCAATGGTAGACCCGAGGTCGCCTGGATAGTGACGCAGAAGATTGCTCCAGCCTTTCGTATGCAGTGGTGACGGAGAGGACTGTAGCCTTGGGAGCTCTGGGTTGAAAACGGGGTATTGAACAGTAGTGTTTGGTCTAGCTGGTTGCCCCTGCGGTGTGAGACCTAGGGATAAGGGATTGAAAACGACGCTGTCGGTGTCACTAGTGCAGTTCTCAAGAGCAGGCGCTTGCTACTTCTTCTTGCGGCAGGAGGAGGCGCCATGCTCGCTTAGGCCACATGCCGTGCACTCATGACGTCTCTTGCAGCCTTCCCAGGAGCACCCTGTCGTATTGAACTTATCGCAAACCTCTGTCTCATTATTCGAAGATCTAGTATTCCTGGCTTGACGAGGCCGTGTGGGAGGGTTTGTTGGTGACTTCGCGGGCAGGGTGAGATTGTGGCGAAGGTATTTCTCGCGGAATGGGCCTGTGACTAGGTAGTTGTCCGTTGATAGCTCTCCTTTATCCAGTATGTATTGGTGGAAATTAAGGGCAAGTGGAAGAACTGCTTCCGACCACTGATAAGTCTGAGCGAAGTCTAGGATCTGCCTCATAAACATGAGTAGGTTGGGAACTGCCTTAGGATGTTTCTCGCCGAAGAGAAATCCCACGACTGCCAGATAGGCCAGAAAGCAGGTCGTCCATGTTTGAGGGTTAGGACCCCAGTCCTTGAGCGACGCTGCTGCCTTTTTGAAGCCCACTGTGCCTCCCGACTCGGTCATTTTGAAGACTTTGTCCTCCTGATCTAGCTCGGTGACTGACTTCTCTTTGAAGCGTATGAGTTCAGTCGCCTTCAACTTCCGCTCGAAGACGCGAGTAAGAAGGGCGGCGGAGACACCCGGGAATATGTCGATGAGTGGCTTAACCTCAGGGGGTGGCTCACGGTTTTCTTCGAGAGTATCGTCATCTTGCAGGTCCACACGAGGCCGCCTGCGGCGGAGATCGGTCTCTGCTACATCTAATTCAAGGCGCCTAGCCCTGTCTCTCTGTATCTGTCCCAACCAACTGGCACGGTCTGCCGCACCCATGGTTTCCCAAATGTGGGCTGGCGGCCAAGCGGAGTCGAGCGGGGCAGGAGTGACGCTGCTGGACTGGCTGAATGTCATGGTGGAGAGCAATATAGTTAAGGCTTATCGGTAGTATTGTCGTAGAGAAGGACGTGAAACACAAAATCAAGACTTGACTGCGTGAGAGATGACGAGCTACCGGCAGAGGCCAGCAACTGACTCTCGAGGCAGTTGTAGGAGGAAGAGGAGCCCTCCGTAATGTCGGTGTAGATATTACGTGAGGCTACATTGTGAGGCAACCCCAATATAACCACTCCCATTATGCAGTCCTAGTGTCCCATATAGAGAATGGACCTAGTCTAGTGGACAATTTAAACACTTAGTCTTGGGACTAATTAGCCTGCCAAAATGTGCTAGGAAAAATGTAGTTCAAACTGGCAACACCGGGAAGAGAGGAGATGCTCAATCCCCCCGATTTGATGGCTAGAATGTACCTGTACGCCGGACCGCGGTAGCGGCGTAACGACCCTGAGAATTTGACCCTCACTCCGATTTTTTAGATGCAATTAATTTTTTTTCAAGGCCCACTTAAACGGTGAACGGTCTCTTCAACACGTTGAGGATATTTCACCATCAATTATGAGAGGCAATTGCCAAGAAATGAATCTCAGGGTCGCCCAATTCAGATCTACTCATGCCATGGTTCAAAGTGGATCGATTTGCGCGATGGTGGCAAACTCTAAATAGTATGCATCAACGGCTGTTGAATCACCTCAACTGGCCTCAGAAATAGGATATTTTTAACAAAATTACTGCGTAGTAAATCATCTGCCCATGCAATCTGCGTTGCTGGCATCTATGAGCAAACGAAGGCGAAAACACATAAAAGGACTCTCCTTGACCAGTCTAGAACTTTAGGATTAGGATCCTCTTCCTCCGAGACGGCACTGTCTTTAGTCTGCCTACGGACTTGAAGACGTTTTTGCCTTGGAATTTACTGCCTGAAGTCCACTCAAGTGACATATATGTCCTTCGGAAGACACGGCCTGCGTTACCAAGAGCCTCCGCAGGAGACCGCTGCGAAATCAAGAGCCTCCGCAGGGACAACTGCGAAACCAAGAGCCTCCGCAGGAGACAGCTGCGACATCAAGAGCCTCCGCAGGAGACCGCTGCGACACCAAGTTCTCCCTCACAGCCTTGAGCCCTGTGATTGTATAATCTTGAGCTTCCATGCAGCCTTGAGCCCTGCGTTATCAAAGTTGTGCTCGTTTAGGCGACCCGTGGCGCCGCGGTCTCGTCCTGATCCTCTGACGACATGCAGGCACCTCTTCGCGGTGTCAGAGACTAGTATTCGAGGAAATAACTCGAAGAAGCCAAGACCTGCTCCAATGAGTCCATACAAATTTAGAATCTTCTCAAGAGCTTTATGTTGTATGGTTCTACTTGTTCGTAGAATTCCCTTTTCGTACTCCTTGTCCGCGTAAAGGATTTTGTAGCCTTCAATCACCCCCTGAGCTTCGAGGATGCGCATTCTCTTCCATGGATGGAATGTAGATGGTATATTGCATTTTGGGTAATTGGTATCCGGTGCATGGTAGTGTCAGCCAATCTGGATGATGCCTGCAATTCAAGCAGTTCCATTGGTGTGGAGGCTTTTCCAGGGGATGGTTAGCGTGGCGGCAGGAGTTGTTGGTAGTGGTGGGGTGCGAGTATTGCGGGCCGAGGATGGATAACGAATGTTGAGGGCCAGAATTGAAGGTGAGGCTCGGAGGCTCGATGGAAAATGGTGGTACAGTTTGCTGGTGGTGAGGCTAGAGGTGAGTGAGAATTGAGGGTGAACACTGGTGATAACCAGGTCGGACCAGTGGGTCCCTCCCTTTGTTGATGTGGTGCGGCGAAACTGCCGAGCGGTGAAGTGGCTACCAACGGTAATCACCCGACGCCACCCTAGTCATTCTCTCGCGGGTTCAACAAGACAAACAGTGCGAAACGATGAGAGCTACGAGTTGCGTGACGCATTCAGTGTAGATTTCCAATTCAAACCCTCCGTAAAGTTGCGCATTCTCGGCGGTACATTCTGTTTTTTCTGCCATCACTTTTCTATGTGGTTCAACTCGTCGCGTGCTCTAAGTCGACCCGTTTCTTATTGTTCAGGGACTTGCACGTTTCGGCGTTGTATTTAAAGACGTCGCTCAATTCCATTGTTGGTATATCTATGTCAACGTTGAAGTCTTGGCATAGGTCTTCTCAGTACCCGAATGTTTAGTACACGCTTTTCAACACAGGCAGATTGAGACAGACTGATGTTGACAGCCTGTGAGGTCATTCCTATTTTCCTTGAATCAACGGTGGCCGTGTTCAACCATGAGCTATGGTTGTAAACAATTCTGGCAACCGTTCTTCAACCGGACTTCTGTTCTCACCGCGGCGTGGACTCAACGACCGCACCCACAACATCACTGTTACATTCATGTGATATCACTGATATTCAATATTCAATACACATTATGCCGGCATCATGCTTGCCTCCGCTACCACACCAGATAATCGACCACTCGCAGGGAACGGACTTCCTGTAGGCATCGTGAGTCACGAATCTGCCCATGCGGGCGCGTAGGTATCGGAATGCGGTCGCACTTCCTCCCACCATTGAGGCACGATGGGAACTTTACCAAAACCGAAGTATCTATTTTTTTTTTTTTTTCTCCTGGTAGCTTGATAAATCTTGGCTTTTCTTGGTAATTGCCTCATTTGCATGTCACTGGTGGTGTGCTCCAAGTCGTTTTTCCTAATCAGACGACGGGACTTTGTTTAGCGCTGGACGGGCAAAATATATCTTGCTCAATCTCTAGTTTAAAATGAGCACCAGAACGTGGAGCGATCGCAAGTGGAATAATATTTAGCAAAGCTATCTTGTGTATTTATTATTGCTTTTTGGAGCAACTTTCTATCCCGGCTTGAGAGCCCAAAAGTGTCACCACACATCTGAAGCTGGGAAAACTCAGGGAGTCTTGTTCCAATCATGAACAACGTTGTGTTTCCAAGAAATAAGAGAGGATTATTGTGGGTTGCTTTTTGGCCTAGTGGTAATTCGCTAGCTGCGTCTTCGAGGTCAGGCGTTCGAATCCTAGGCGTATTTTCACTTATCATCGACTTGGTTACACTGTATGGTTCGACAGTGGGATTCCTCGCGATGACCTCGACCTCAGACTCGGGGTCAGACCCATATTGAAACCAGTCCATACCATGAACTTGATCTTGCTGGACAGGCGCATAAGAAGAAGATTCCATATCGGACCAGGAAGTGGTTTGAACATAATTCGAGTTTACTGGAAATTGCCTATAGTCGGCTTGGAAGCCAGGCCATTGATAGCAGGAGCCTGCCGGACAGCAGGAAAGGTCCCAGTCTGCGTAGGTTGTTTAGTGATTTGCTTGAACCAACCGCCCTGTACAGACTAGACCGTAATAACTTACCACTATCGTTGTTTCCACCACTATTCATCGACGAGGACTTGTGCATTTAGCAGATGGAAAGATTGAACCCCCCCGCAGAAACGAACGTAGGGGCCTCGTGCAGACTGGGAAATATACATGAAGGCAAGCCAGCCAGATAAGGTACCGAATATAGCTAGAAAGGCGTCAGATTAGAGAACGCCATACTGTGTAGATATTTTAAGCCGGTCCGCTCTCCAAGAGCTTTGAACCGAGAACAACGTTGATTCAACCAGCCGTATAGTAGCGGCATGGCCTAAGAGAGAAGATGGTTTCACTGGGCTTGCTCTGTTGATTCACTGTTGGAAACCGCACTCACTCTTTCCGATTTGTTCATGGTTCATTGGAACGTATATCCTAGCTATATAAATTCTGCAACATCGGGACGCATTGCAAGCATCATCCTCGGTCAGACAGGATACACAAGATCCAGCATGGATACCTCCAGTATCAATCCTGCCGAAGAGCTGCCCGAGATTCAGCCCACAAGTGGCTATCCTCCAGCCGACGAACCTATTATCCACATGGAACAGCACCCGCAGATTGACGTGGATCTACCATCCGGCCCAGCAATCGTGAGTAAGACCAACACGAGCATGTATAAGGACTAGCTGACTCGTGCCCAGCAGGTTGAAGACACAGAGAGACCGTCCTTGAAGGACCAGCCATTTGCACCTGCGATGGAGGCTCTCGCGCGGCTCGAACGTGAGGACCCGAAGCTTGCGTTCCAAGCCGCAAGACTCGTCGGACTGTATCGGCGCCTGTGGGAGTCATGCATGGCAAAGCATATGGAGGGGGAGAAGTTGGCCAAAGTAAATGACGACCTGAGGGAGACTCAACAAAAGTTGGTGAACAGGAAGAACAAAATGCAGTCAAGCCATGATGACCAGCTGGCTCGGTTGCATTTCTTTGATCAGGCGCTGGAGTCATGTCGACTCCGTTTGACTGAAATACTCAAGGAATGGAATCGCTACCCTGATGGCCTCGAGTCAAAGCTTAGTGAATAAAGAACTGCTAGTGAACCGATGGCCGTAGTGCAATTGCCAATAGATGGTGGGGGGTGTTTGTGGAAGTTTAAATGAGATGGCCATGTTTCAAGGACTTTTGAGCATTCTTGCTTCCTCTCCATAGAATGCATCAATTTGTGCTCAGTTGATAGGCACAGAACAAATGAGCCGTCATTATTATTGTTAAGAAGACAAAAAAGAGACTGGGATTCATCCGCATAGTGTCCCGAGGATGAAGCCGAGTGTGGTCAGCCATACTGCAGGGTAGAAAGAATCATAGTCTCACGATGACACCCATCTCCGGCAAGCCCCCTCCCAAGCCAAAGCAATAATATCCTAGGGGTTCCAGCGATCTTAATGCTGGAATTCGAGTGTAATTACAGGGGTGGAGAGTGAGGATAGAGCTGTATCTTTTATGAAGCCATCGACTTGGTAGTTAAGAAATTGCGCACAAACCAGCCTTTGTGATGCCGAGAACAGCAAAAAAAAAAGAATTACGAAACAAAGGTAGCGAACATACTACATACATATTGGACCAGGAATGAGAAAACCAACTCGGCTGGTATCCCATTGCATCGTGTTTGCAAGACTAGTTCAACTCGATCATCCTATAGGCGCGTTTCTCGCTTGCCTTCAAAGCCTCGACGATTCCATCATTGAGGCCAGCCACAGCTTTTCGGCTGCCAAATAGCTCCAGAGCCTGATCATTGCAGAACTGGAGTAATATATCGCATTCAGCGGTCAGCCATGCAATTGACCGCTGAAGCTGACCCTGCTCTTCTTCGAGCCGTATCTGAAGTGCAGAATCGACGATATAACATTTCCATAAGCGGAGGTACCAGTCGAGAAGGCTGATGATGGGAGCCGCAAGGGAGATGTGATGACGTAGAATATATTCAAACTCTGTCGAGAGGCTTGCTGAAGTCGTGGGACCCTGGATCACTCTGATCAGCATTGTTATTTCCATGTTTGCGTGGCTCTTAGACCTGGTTTTCGCTAACCGAAGTGTCTTTTCTAGGTGCCCGATTGCTTCGTTCCTCTTGCATCTTATCATCCGCATTTGGGTAAACGCGTTGTCTTTTAGACTGTGACGTGGGAGAGGACAAAGGTCGTTTGGGAGAACTCATGGTGGTCGATTTGTTGCTAGATGGTAACCTGACTCTCATGAGTGTGTTAAATACATTGTGAAAATCTTCATTATATAGCGTGTGACGTGTCTATCAGCGTAATATTTGTAACTTTCAACGTTGGCGTTCACGGTTTATTGACCTCCCAATACCCATACAATCAAGATGATTCAACGTTCAAAACTGGCCTCGTCGTACCGTGCCCTTTAACCAATGACCTCGGCCGACTTTCGCTCTCAGATTGTTGCATATAATCCATAGCCTCCGCAGACATCCGCTCTGAGTTTTGCAAGTGGCCACGGGAAGCAGACCTTGATCGCGTTCGTCGCGAATTGCAATGTGGCTCTGGGGCTGGATCACTTTTCTGTCTCCACAGCGTCCGTATTTCATGGCATATATCAAGGCACTTTCTCTCTCTCTCTATTTTGCATGTGAAGGTCAATCCTCTCATGACTGAGCAGGAGCCCAAGAACATCTGACGCTCCATATTGAATAGCTCTCATTAAAGGAGTCTTCCCACGCAAGAATGTGTTGGCATCGGCACCATGAAGAAGCATGAGCTCCGCCCGAGCATTGTCGTTGTCTCTGGCTGCCAGGTGCAGGAGACTACTGTTCTGACGCTGAATGTTCCACTTGAGGATGTGGGGCTGTAGTATGCAGTAGAGATCTCGACATGATATGCCCAGCGAGCCCAGGTCATGAAAGTCTAGCTGAGAGACAATAAGTGAGATGATCTGGCCTGGAAGGACTTGGAGTATATCCTATAGGGAATCAGCGGAGGAAGAGTGGAGGGTATGCAGAAGTGACATTAAACTGATCGTCGCGGAGGATGAGCGTTTAGAGACAGTGAGAATCTTGCAAACGGCAGTAAATTGGTGAATGAGACGAGTTTGTAGCTATTTTTGAAGATGGTACTGATCTCTTTATATTCGACATTGGCCATACGTTCATTCGAGGACCATGCTTGAGAGCTCCCGGGAGCCTTGTCGGCTCCAGGAACCCTATCACGGATTCCTGGAAGCAAAAGAGTGATTTATCAGTGCGCAAGATCTGTCAGGATATTTCCAGGCCGCGTGGGCAAAGGTTCGCATTCTTTCATGGCAGGAGGGGGCAACACCACTCTCTTGAGATGAGGCTGAGAGATCGTTTCGAGTCATCAAGACAGAGCCAATGTGAGAACCGGCATCTCAGCGCTCTCACCTATCCTGTTTCTACAAGTGGGTCGTACGTAATTTTCACCTTGCAAGGTTGCTTCTTTCACCAACACTGAATGATCTAACATCGTAGGACACCTTCTCCGTGCCAGATGGCACCTGGCGCATCAATCATGAGTGGGTTCTGTTTTTTTTTCATAAGATAGGTTTCTCCAAGTAGTCAAGTGTCCGTTCACTGAGTATTCAAAAAAGACAAGCAGGACATGAGAGTGGTATCTATTAGAGACACGCTGATTTGACGATCTATGTGGCTCCGGAGGCCGACTTACGTTCTAGCCGTTATTTGCTTCCAGGATCGAGATAGACGCTCCTGTGAACGCTTCTCTAGAATCTGGGAATCAAAGACTCCTGGGAGCCTCTAGATTGCCTCTGCAGATCCATAGAATAGCGTGCTAGCCTAAAAAAAAGCTCGGCTAATGCATCCGGAGCCAAACATGCAATATAAAAGCGACCATTCCTTCCACCAAGACGTTTTGCGGTTCATTTGACTTTCATTTGGAATCTTGACTTTTGAACTTGATACAAGTTCTCAAATCTGCATAAATGACGCAAACTCCCAGATGTGACACTTCGAATCGGCTGTTTGAGCTTCCTCCAGAGATTCTTCTCTACCTTTCGGAATTCTTCAATTCATCGCGAGATCTACTTGCGATGGCTTGTATGAACAGTACCTCAAAAAATATTTTCCTCCCGCGTCTCTATACCTTCAATGTTCGCCATCAAGAATGCTCCGCGTTAATCTGGGCCGCTCAGAATAACAAAGTCGCTCTGGCAAATCGTTTGCCAAAGGAATATCGAGCAAATGCCAACACGACAGATGATAGATCTCGCACGCCTATCTTTCACGCTATTGAAGTTGGAAGTGAGGAAATGATTCGAACTCTTCTGGAAAGCACAGCAGACATCAACTGGCAAGACGACCGAAAGCAGACTCCGCTGCTATATGCTCTGCATCGGAGATACCTGTCCATGGCGCGCGTTTTGTTACGACATTTCAACCCAGGTTGTAGTTCTATCTTGTTCGTGTACACGGCGCCGGTAACAGCCATGTTTTTCTGTGTTTGCGATTGTCCCCAGCAAGGTGGTCCATCCGCTGCTTTCACGTTGCGCTTTTTCGGGCTATCACAACAATGAACAGGCTGGTCAGGATACCGACCAAATAGAAGATTGACATGACTTACAAAATTGCTCTCATGGAGCCACACAAATTAAGCACAGATGGCCTCATCGCAGCTGGTGTAGTCGACGACATTCACAGTAAGCTCACCCTCGCTAACGTCGTTATTATAGAGTGGGGAACTGCCACAAAGACCGCACTTGTGATCAACGATTTGCTGAATAGCGGCCTTGATTGAGTGACCTGGGGCGCCTCCTTTTGTGTTCTGAACGAATGCGCAGACGGAATACTCTTCATCGCTGATAGCGTCGCAGGCTGTGCAGCAGATATGTTGGCCATTGTAGTATTGCTGGTTGTCTGGGACGGCCTGGCATGCCTGTTGCAGCGCTTTCAGGCTGGTCTGCGGGTGACAGAATGGGCATTCGCTACTGCCCTCACAGTTGATTCCCTTGGCGGCAACAGAAGCAATAATAACCGAAGCTATGAAGGGAAGGCTAGTGAGACGCATCTTGGCGGATATGTGGGTGGTGGGAAATTTGAAGGATTGCGAAGTGCAGAAGATGAAAGATACCGCCAGTTACTTCCGCCAGTAGACTTTATATGCCGCGGGACCAGTCTGGCTCAAGCAACAAGGAGAAACCCTTTGGTCCTGCCGAGCTCATAGAAACGTTTACCATAATCAGACTAGTGGCTGACAGCCCTATTTTAAAACGTTTACGCACTCCACATGTATGGTTGCCTAACGTCTCTATTCCTAAAATGCGACTAGCACGCATGATTTCATCGAAACGCATACCGTATACAGTCTGGTAAATGATACCACTGCATCATGACTTCTACTAACTCCATAAGAATAGTCACCTCACTTTTCCATTACCGTATTGAGACTAAAACTTATCGAAGTGTCTACCACATACAGATCACTTGAGGACATCCCCGTCACATCCCTTGTATAGACTCTACCATAGTGGTCGCCTGACTGTTGTTGAATGGTATCGTGTACAAGACCCTGAGTGTCAGTCCCTCGGCGCTCAATGTGCTACAGGAGGAAATGGGTGTACAAACTTCAACACTGGCAGGTGTGATCACGGTTACATGAGCTTTGGAGAATCTGGTTCGCTCCATAAGCATCTCCAGTGCTGATGGTGAGCTCGAAGGCCCCCCTTAGCTGTACGCACTCGCTTGTAACGTTAGAATGTCTTCTTGCACTTAGGTGGAAACACAAGAGTATCTCGCTGTGGAATGATATGAGAGACTGATCTATCTTTACTGGGTTGATTGTTGGCGACGTAGGTTGGGTTTGTGTTTAGAGGAATTTGGTATTTCGCTTCATTGTGAGAGGGTCTTCATATGAGGGCTATTTGTGCGAAAACAAGAATAAGAATAAGGAATGAGTTGAGATTCGGACAAGATAGCCTAAGACCCATAAGATACTGCGTTATATACATAGACTCAACCATGATTCCATCGCACAGGAAACATGGTTCCACCCTTTCATCCCACAAGAAAGACACCACCACGGTCCGCTTCAATCATGAGCAGTCCGCGAGATGAAGCTCCTAAATAGTTCTGAAGTGTCCACGGCCATCCGCCTGCGCTCATCAGCCAGCTTGCCACTCTCTGCACGGATGCTACCCGATGACTGTACTATGGATACCTCCAGTTGTCAGGGTGCCCGAGTGTCCAAAGCATCCTCACGCACAAAATTAGCTGCCCGGGCTGACAAGTCTCATCATCGTGACAGTTCACGCACGCCACGAGAGCGGAATCGAGAGCGGTCCACGTCGGCCTCGAATCAACCCACCAACTATGATGATATGAGTGGAGGATGATCGAAAGCCCAGCTCACTGAATCGGATTACATTCAAGAATCTGATCATTGAACAAAACGTGAGATGCTGGGGGCGGAGGGTGCAGAGATTGGGAGCGGAAACGCAGAGATAACTTAGTTAATCACTTCTTAGTTATTTACTGGATGATTATTAGTAATTCTGCCCCCCCGTTTCTTTTGTCCTGCAGCTGAACTTGGACCCTGTTTTCGAATGCCTCTTCATCCTATTCCTATCCACCTTGCATCCAAGAAACCTGTCACACGCTACTACTAATCATGCCGCTCCCAATCAAGCCGTCTCGCAAGCGATCTAAAACGGGCTGCCGTACTTGCCGGTAAGCTTCAAATGCGTAGTCGTTGGCGTTTGCCTGACATCCTTGAATAAGCGCACGCAGGATCAAATGCGACGAAACGCCCGTAGCTTGCCGGAACTGCACCTCAGCCGGTCAACGCTTTGATGGTTACGACTCCCACAGACTTCCGCCAAAACTCAAGTTATCGGCAAAGTACAGCCGGAAATTCCTGGAGCAAAATGACATTGAACCCGTTCTGGGGAGCCTCGATTGGGCGGTGACCTCAGATGAGCGCCGGAGTTTGTCCTATTTCCAGTTCCACACCGTGCCAACCCTCCTTGGGTTCTTCGACTCATTGATCTGGCAAAAGCTTGTCCTACAGCTGAGTCAAAGCGAACCCCCGGTCTACCATGCCGTCGTCGCGATCAGCGCCATTCATGAGAACTGTGAAGCCAACGGAATGCCACTAGCAGCGCCCGCGCCTCATTCCGACAACCCTTGGCAGCAGTTTGCGCAGGACCAATTGGCTCGATCAATCAAACTTTTGAATCAGCGCCGAACCTCGCAGGACCCCCGGCTTCGTCATACGATCCTGGTTTGCTGTCTATTGTTTGTTCTGGCGGATCTGCTTCGCGGATTCTACGAAAGTGCCTTTAGCCATCTCCAAAGTGGTCTTTGTATTCTACGAGACTCGCTGTTTGTCGGTCCACACACCAGTCTAATTCCACGTCCGCGGACTCTGAATGAACAATGTCTGATCGAGGCCTTTGGGAATCTCGATATCTTAGCTGCGCACTACGATTGCACCTTCCCTATTCTTCCTGTCGAGAAACGCTTGAGGTCCACGCCAAGCAACACTCTTCCTCCGTCCTCGTCCTCTGCGACTCAATTTCATTCCATCGCCGAAGCAAGAATTGCTTTCGATGCCCTTTTGAGCGAATCATACAAGTTCAGCGCCCCCACCATGGGCATGACAGATGAACAAGTAGCAGCCAACTACTCCACTCTACGAAGCCAACAGCATCAGGTTTGGGGGCAAATGAACCTATTCGCCACATCCTTCCGCCCATTCTACAAAACAGCACACCGCGAACTCTCCCTAAAAGACCAAAGAAGCGCTGACATAATAAATATCCATTTAGTCAGTCTGCCGGTATGCCTGAAATCATGCCTCCTAGGCAAGAACTTCGGCGCACTTGCCGAATACACTGCTGAATTGAAACGCGTATGCGATCTTGTGGAGGATCTCATGGCGAAGTTTCCCGTGCGTCCATCCTTCACACTAGAGGCAGGCATTCTCCCGCCCCTCTATCTGTCAGCCCTATTGTGCGTCGACTACCGTGTGCGATGGCGTGCGATCCAGCTTATGCGTTCCTGGCCGCACCGTGAGGGTCCATTTGATTCCAACTGGCTGGCCTCGCTTGCTGAGGAATCACTGCGTCTTGATTTACTTACGCAGTGCACTAACAACGTAACGGATCAACACACAGACCAGCAGGTTTCACGGAATGGCTCGATCTCAGGGCCTGAGATGCTCCAAAGGCTGTCGGCCATACGCAAGGAGAAGGTTGACATGATGCTGAGAACACGACGGCTGCACCGTGATGCTGAGTTTGATGTTTTGGATGCTGTTGGTCTAGTGGAGGGGATGGGTAGTTTGTCCTGTGTGCGGGCTTTCACTTCTGCCACGTCTAAATTTGCCAGTTGGCATTAGTCTTACACCCGATTATTCTACGCCCACTGGATCATGCTCAGCCGGAACTTCAAATACCCGTATAGTTACCACCCACATAGAGATTATACTTCTGAGTTTTTGAGCATCCATGCAGACAAGAAAATGGAAAGAGTATCCCGTAAAGTAACCCTTTTTAAATGACCGTCGGCAATTTCAAATACACAACCCACGATATACAATAACCTTTCACCTTCCTGGAAGCAAAATTGGAGTGACTGAATGCTGAATGTCATTTTTCTGCCGCTGTTTCATAAGCAATCACAGATCTCCTACCATTCAAAGGCAGAATTATGTTCGTCGGGTAGTTGTTCTAGGCCAGGAAAGAAGTACGCAGGTTGACACCATTGATAATGTTAGCGTGGTACTTCCATCCTTTTCTCATGACTAATATTCTGCCACCTTTTATTACGACTTCATGTAATTAAACCACTATGATACAATATTACTGCTTAGTAAAGCGTATGACCCCCCTGCGCATCGATAACAGCCTGGCAGCGCTTCTGCATGAGATCAATCTGCTGGTTTAAAAAGCTTATAGGGATCGCATCCCATGCAGCTCGCACAGCCTCGCGTAGCTGATCATAAGATAGCTTACGATCATAGTTCTTCAAATACCGATCACCGATCCAATCCTTCATCCAATCCCAAACCTTCTCAATTGGATTAAGATCTGGCGAATACGGTGGCCAATCGATAGGGTATATCCCACGTTCGTGAAGATCCTCAATTGTCAAGAGATTTCGATGAGATGGTGCGCCGTCTTGCATTACAATTAGATGTTGATTAAATTGATTGCGAGCCAGCGAAACCATACCGTCGATAAGAGGCACAATTCGCTCTGTATATTGAGCAGTAGTAATAGTACCCCATTCTTTCTCCCAGAATAGACAAGGGCCTTTCTCATTACCATAGAATGAGCCCCAAAACATCCAGCCAGGTGCACGAGCAGTTCGATCTCGTACACATGTATCATCAAATTCTTCGCCAGCCTTACGCGTCACATAGATTCGTCGATGATAGATCGATGTGACCCAGGTCTCATCAGTCCATAATATCTTTTCCCACTACTCACGCGTCCAATTAACATGCTCTAGCGCCCAGATTAGACGTAATGCTCGTGTACGATCAGACAAAGGAGGCTTTCGAACAGCCTTACATCGATGATATCCACGCCTAGCTAAGGCCCTTCGTAGAGTCTCAGAACTAACAGGGAGCTGTAGTTCTTCTATAACCCTTGAGTACGGCATCCGTCGTGTCTCTTTCGAAGATGAGATATAATCAATTATCTCATCAAGTTGTTCTTCTGATAATTTTCGACCTCGGCCAGGGGCCTTGCGTGGTGTAGGCCTCTCATCAGTGCAAGCCTTTTGGACCTGGCGCTGGGTAATGCCTAGTTTTGATGCGATTTGGCTATAGGTAAGCCCCTGAGCGCGCAGTGTACGCGCTGCGATGCGCTGATCACGACTAGCTTTATGTCTAGGGGTATGAGGGGCCTGGGGGGCCTGGGGGGAATGATCGGATCCTTCGTGATTAGTCTCCATGGTAGGTAGGTAGGTAGGTAGGTAGGTAGGTAGGTAGGTAGGAAAATAGGTGGGTAGGTGGAAGGGGTTGAAATGTGCGGTATTGCCCTAGTTTCTATTAGGAAGGCGGTTGAAGTGGGTATTAGTCATGAAGAATGTGGGAAGTACCACGCTAACATTATCAATGGTGTCAACCTGCGTAGATTTCCCGATAACCTATTCATACTATATTCGAGAAGACTATCGAAAACTGCAAACTTTGATCAAGCTCCCAGTGGACCCTGAAAGTTTCATACTTCCTGCATTTGGTTTAATTTCCACCGGTGGCGCGAATACTTCGGCAATCTTCAGATCTTACCAACAAGCCGATGGAGATCCTTACCACGACTCCATATCTCCTTATTGGGTTTAGTCTCCGCATGACAGAGATGCCATCGATGGCATCCTTACTATTTGCTTAAGAATCAAGAATTGAAGCAAAGGATACAAAAGGGAGGGTTTCAGAAAGTATAATTTTCTCTCTTTATTTCTCACTGGAACTTCCACACTATGCCTTTTGCTTACAAAAATGTTCTGCTTATCGGTGCCACCTCCGGGATTGGAGAGGCGCTGGCCACCAAACTCGTTGAGAATGGGACGCGAGTGATCGTTTCAGGACGGCGAAAGGACAACTTGGATGCTTTTGCTCGGCGTTATGGCGCTGATCAGGTTAAGTCCAAAGACTTTGATATTATGCAATTGGACCGGGTGAGTCGTTCATGAGGAGATGCAGAATAGTTGCTTTAAGCGAATACGCTAACATTACATGGTAGATCCCTCAATTTGCATCTGAAATTATCACTGAGAATCCCGACCTTGATTGTGTGTTCGTCAACTCGGGAATTCAGCGGCCATTTGACTTTTCCAAGCCCGACTCCGTCGACCTGGACATTTTCGACCAGGAACTGATCACCAATTATACATCCGCCGTGCGCCTTGCAAAGGCCTTTATCCCCCATCTTCAGAAGCAAACTACCCAGACCGCTCTCGCATTCACGACTTCCCAAATGGCCCTCGTTCCAATGATGCGCTGTCCGAACTACGGCGCATCCAAGGCGGCTTTGCATCATTTCGTTCTCGCTCTGCGCACACAGCTGCTGGAGGGTCCAGGCAATGTGAAAGTTCTGGAGATTTATCCTCCGGCTGTGCAGACTGAGCTGCACGATGCTAAGCATCAGCCTGATCTGAAAGATGGCCATCTTATCGGTATGCCTCTCCAGGAATTTGTTGACGAGGTCTGGGCCGGGTTATCAGAGGGTGAAGATCAAATTGCGGTTGGCTCGGCAAAGGATATCTTCAACCAGTTCGAGGTCAAGAGACAGGACATCTATCAACAGATGACTGAGATGTTGTCTGGGTTGCTCAAGCAGTTCTTGCGATAAACTCACATCTCTCGTTTGATGACCATGTTTACCAAGCATAGGAATAGCCTAATTTGCCATAATGCCATAAATCCAGTTTTCGAGAGAAATTCGAATTTGTCTCTTTGTGTCACATCCGAGCTTATATTGTGTGTTTTACCATCAAGTCGCTAAGTAAGGTTGTTGTGGGGGATACTGTATTCCCGACACTTCCTTGCCCTTGCAAGCAGCGAGGATCAACGCGCCAAATTTGTTAATATTATGAACACTGCCTGTTTCCACAGCATCCGAATACTCATGTAAGGAAATCATCGAACCAGAAAGGCCAGAATCCTGATCCGCCAGAGCCTGGTTCGAATCATCATCCCAAAGACTGGTGCGAACATCAAATGGCAACGCATCCACGAAAGGCGTGCGGACGGAGTAGTTCCTTGTGTTCAGAGAATACGCACTTCGAAGCATTAAGCTCACGATAATGGTACGCCGAACACTTTCAGCCAGAAGCCATGCTTGTCTTTGAGTAAGTGTTGATGGTAGCTGGACCGGGGCCTGTTCCCATAACCGTTTGGCAACCTTTTCAAGCATCGAGCTTGTATCCTCGGAATATTGGCTTGGCAGATCCTGGTCTAGAGCCAGGATGCATTGGACGAGAATCAGGGCTTGTGAACAACCAAGAAGGTCATTAAATGAAGAAGAGCGAGAGAAATGGTGATAGATCTCGTCCGACCTCATCCGAAGGAAGTAAAGAATATCACTCATATTTCCCTGTGGCGCACGGTGACCGTAAAGCCCGCAGAGAACATGTGCATCTTGAATGACAGCCGGAAGACCGGATGAGTAGGTTTCCGGATGTATAAAATCTGTCTTCTGGCTTATCACAAATGCTCTCGGATATTCTCGTAGCCCATGAACGAGAAATCGAATGGCAGATTGATCATATTCTTTCGCAATTTCTAATCGCAACGGTGTGCGGATCTGATGCGACAAGGCCACTTGCCGGCGATTGTGTGGAGCCTTTTTGATCAAACTTCTTCGAGAATCAGATGTGGCCGTCAAAGGGGCATTGTCATATTCACAATTACGTCCTTTGCCCAGACATCTGCTGCATTTAGGCCAGAGCTGGTCACATCGCCGTTTGCCCTTGATGCAGGTTTGACAGGATCTCCGTAGAGTGACAGGCTTGGCTGGATCAGGAGTCATGGATAATTTGTATTGATGTTCTTCAAAGAAAAATTGCACCTCAAGGCGCATGGGAATGGATGGAGTCGGGAGAGCGAGTAGCCACTAACGGAACGGGACCAATAGTAGTGGGACTCGGAGGAAGGAGATATTATAAATCCGCACGTATTAGTCATTATTTTGCCCACCAAATTGCCAGCTAACTAAACTCCTAGGAACTATCCGACGATTCCTATAGGCCAGGCTTTTCGGCAAGGTGGTCACATAGGGCGTCAAGCCTGATAGGAGCGATACTTGGTTGTCGGCCGACCGAGACTGGGGGAGATCTGGCACTACCGGAATAACCGCAAGTTCTTGCGTATGTTAGTGATTGAGCGCTCACTACACTGAGCCACCTTCGCCATTTGCTTGGTAGTGAGACGTTTATTGCTGTGTATCATATGAATAATCATCTTACGCTGACAGGTATCGATGTTTCTGGCCATTTTGTAAGGGGTTTGGGTGATGCAGTTGCTAGGTTGGGAGTTTGAACTAATAAATAACTCTTTGGCGGTTTTCCCGTTGGGGCGTTTCCGTAAATTCCACCTTGGGCATTAACGCCGGCTCCTTGCTCTAGTAGCCTCTGCACAATTCTATCGTGTCCTTCCGAACAGGCAGCCCGGAGCGTATTTCCGTAGCGTCCACCGTGGGCGCTGACATCGGCTCCTCGCTCGAGTAGCATTTGCACAACCTTCTCATGTCCATTCAGCGACGCCCATATGACAGGGTATGTTGATGTATCATCTGCCCTATTGATATCACTTTGTTCCGCATCAAGAAAAAAGTGGACCATTTGCTCATGGCCGTTAAGTGCTGCCAGGTGCAGTGCTTTCATTCTCCGCGGTTTCTTCTCAAAAGGCCTGAATGCCTCCCAAAAAAATCTCGAACCACAGCGCGAACCGCATCTCACTCATTTCGTATACTCGTTGCGGGAGATCCGTCATTTCTTTATCTGACGTCAAAGCCACCTTCCGTACGTGATCAGCCCAATGTACAGCTGAATATACCCAGAAGTCTCGGGTATTAGAGCATGAATCGGCTTCGTCATCTTCCAAATCCTCCATCAACAGGTATCGCAAACAGATATGGGCCATTAGCTTTTCCGCATCACTCAAGCTGCTCCAGTATGCAAAATTGAAATTGTCTGAACTCTCCTTTTTGATGAGAAATTCCCTGGCTGTCTAATGGATGAGATAAATTTTCCGCGATGACGAGCCGTCCGACAGAACGGCAAGGAGGTACCAGGCACGCTACGATCGATGACAAAAAATACAGACTCACAGACGGACTCGATCCTCGTCGCTCATGTAGCGGAGAAGGATGTGCGCGAGTTATGATAATATGACAACGCCATACGCAGCGAGGCACTGAAGCGGAATTGTCAGAACATGGACTGGCCTTAAGGGCGGAATCCAATCCAGAGTTCAACATTTAGTGATCAGATAAGAGAGACCACTGATCTCCCGGAAAGAGCCAGCCCTTCATGCCATTCCCACATCGCGTCGAAGCTCATTATCCGTAAGTGGTCCCATACCTCTCCTCACGAAGAACTCGTAACTCATTAGTGGGATAGTTCGTGGGCATGGGTCTATCTATATTTATTCGACCATGATTTCCTGCCCCCACACCCCCGAAAAGATCCGCTCTCGCTAACTCGTCTCTGGGTAGCTCGCGTGTGTGCAACAACGGCCCGGCGCTCACACTAGAAGGCCCACACCACCAACGATCAATCCATTCCTGCTTTAGCTCCTCGTTATCGCCTAGGAGGCTCTCGGGGCGATCATAGGACAAGCCCCGGGCTGTACGAGGCACCACCCCGAGGTCCGAGCAGAAGACTCTGGCCAATGACCCGCCGGCCTGACCCAGGATAGTTCTACGGCAAATCTCCTTTAGAACTTCCTTCCAAGATTGAAGGCCCGGAAGACTATCGGACCGCATGACATGATGCAACTCGAGGTTCTCAATCTGTCCATGGCGTTCCAGGAACGATACGAGGTCGCTGGCGTTAATACAGAGGCCACGCAAGGCCAGATGTCTCAAATGGCAAAACATTAAGCCTTGGTCAACGATGGCCTGGAACACCCGCGCGTAAAAGAAGAGTCTGGACCCCCCATCGTAGGCTTCGTACTCAAGTGTCTGGAACATGTGCAGATCTAGCGACTCGAGGTTAATCATGTGCACGAGCAGCTGGGAGATGCCGGGGAAGTTGTCCTGACAGAGCGCTTCGGGCGTGTTGTCCCCGTATCGACCAAGGATCTCTGAGCCCTTAGCGTCCCTAATTATGGCGTCTGTCTCTTCGTCGGAGTCGTAGTCGCTACCATCCACGTCGAAGTCAACGGGCGCCGAGTCTGCGAATTCAGCAACGCCATCGGCCTGGAACCATTCCACCTCGTCTTGGTTCTGGTCCCAGTGTCGTCGTTGCTTCCTTTTCTCTCGTGTCGCAACATGAGCCCCGTAAACCATGCCAAGTCCTTCCAATCCATGGTCAACTCTGGTCGAGAAGCTCAACGCCAGCGTCTTGACGTTGGCGCAGGAATTCGCCAGTCCAGCATGCAAAAGCGTGGGCAAGCCTACTGTGACATCATACGATGGAACACTGCAGCCAGTGGTGTTGCAGTAAATGCGCAAGTCCGGTATAGCCACACCACTGCGGGCCAACGCTGTCATCGTCAGGCGGTATACCCGCGAGGCGTCGGCCCACAGCTGTCGTCGATCCGAGTCCACGATGTGATCTGAGACCGGTTTGGAGTACCGATTCGGACCCTCGATAAATCTGGCGTCTAGTTCCAGTGTCGTCAAAAATCCCGCTCCTAAGGCAAAGATCGCAGCTAGGCGATCCACGAATGATTCCTCTGAACCTGAGTTCAAAGTAGTCGTTTCACTAATCTTCTTAGCAGCCGCATGCTTCTGCATCCACCTCAAGCAATTCAGTGTGTGTGCCAATTGTTCATTGGTTCCTTTTTTCTTCGGGTAGGATATCTGCACTGTAAACGTGTCGCAATGATCGTTTGTGACAACCACCTCCCCCGGGTAGTACTCCCCAGATTCCAATGTATGCTGTGCAGAGTCAACAGCAAAGCATTCGGCTATTACTCGTATATGGCGGACGAGACGGCCTAGCATATCATTCCTCATGAGGGCTTCTGTGGACGATAGGCCGGAAGATGTAAGAGTAGTCGTGTGACGCATAAAGCACTTTCGGGCCACCGAGAGACTCGTGCGCCTACTCACAAAACGCAGGCTTTTCAAGTCGCCCAGCGACAGAAAGATAAGGATGTTCTCCAGGACCTCCTGGGATACATTATTCAGAGCGGCACGTTGGCCCATGGTGTGCGCGCTGTAAAGCGTCCGGGTTGAAAGTCACGAGCCACCATTTCCCACGACCTTTAACCGGCCCTTACAAAATATTACATATTTTGTAAGGGCCGGTTATCGCGTCGAGGCGGAGGAAGGCCGGCAGGCAACGGGCGGGTGGGTGCTGCCGAAGGAAGACACGAGGGACACTGGACCCACAGTGTCAAAAAGGACACGGTGTCTTGGAATGCACCCGAAACACCAAAAGACACTATGCTCGGCTAAGTTGGCAGGGGACCTCCGTAGTACGGGATCTATCAAGACAAACAGAATGTCATCGCGAGGAGTGCTCGGAGGTCATATTATTATGAACGGTCGGGGCTATGTATCCGTGGTGGCCATTTATTGTGGTGTCGAAAGTCGCACTAAGGCCAAGGCGGGCGAAACAGCGAGTCCCCTTTGCTGCTCATACTGGAAGAACGACGGGCCGCACCAAGCCCCTCATTGCACTGTGGGTTGTGGGAGAGGAAACACAGGCTAGGCTAATTTGTACAATAATCCAGTATTTTACGGTACAACGCCTTAACAGGAGACGGTATTTGACCATTCTAAAAGTAGATTAGCGTCTCTTGGCACTCAAGTTTAAGAAACAATGAAAGAGCGTAGGTTGTGACACCGATTTCCGGAACAACTGTATTCCACAAAGGTACTGTACCTCAGTATATAAAGTCATGTCGACTGTACAATCAACTATACTGTACGAAATAAGATCAACAACGAAAGGCGGCCCTGTAAGCGAGCAATATCGTGAGCGACGCGAGAAAGAAAAATGGCGGGACGGGCCGAGACGCGAACCCCTGAGCCGCCCGACCGCGACGAACACGAAGATTCACCCCCAAGATTAGCGAGGCCGCGACGCACCACAAGACCACCGAATAACTACGCTCAAGAGCAAGAGATTGACACCGAGCAGAGAAAGACACGCGCCCAATCGAAAAAGGGACGTCAAGGCAAATCAGTACCCCAGCACGACGCAGTATCTTCAGACGACTCCTCGACGGAGAGCGAGGACTTGAGCGCTACCGATCTCTTGAAAGAGCTCGTGAAGCTAAGGAAAGAGATTAGACGACGCGATGATCTGCATAAGAAAGAGCTGCAAAAAATCAAAGAGGAATTCAGCGCAACCCTTGCAGAAGTCCGACAGGAGCTACAGACCCTGGCAGACAGACCCCCGACACCGCAAGCCCTCTCCGAGCCTTGCTCTCAGAACGGCCACGATGAGATCCTTCGCGAAATTCACTCTCTGCGCATGGCAATCAACCCGTCAGGCCCCGTCTCGGGATCTCCGTCCTATGCAGACGTCGCCCGTACTCCCCCAATGAGCTACCCAAGCAACATACGGACCCTCTCATCGGCGAACACGACACCGACCAGCTTCACCGACACGCTATATTGCACGATAGACACCTCAAAGATGATAGACAATTGAAATGAAAGGATGTCCCCAGGCTCTATCCGTGCTGCGGTCGAGACAGAAATTCGGACGATGGAAAACCACATGCATTGGCGCTGTCGCGCTGTCACGTTGGATCCAAAGAACATAAATCGGATCAGAATTGCCTGTCGGGATGAAACTGAACACCGGCTGGTCAAAGAAGTGGCGGAGGCTTAGATTGGTGCCGGAGCCCGAGTACTCCGTGACGAGCTTTACCCGATCAAAGTTGACAGTGTGAACAAGGCTGCAGTCCTAGACGAGAAGGGTGAAATTCGAAGCGAAGCCACAGCGCTGTTCAGCGAGGAGAACGACACCACCGTGGCCAAGATCGCATGGCTCAGCGGAAAGGAAAACGCGAAGGCCTATGGTTCCATGGTTGTCTATCTCACTAAGAGCCTTGATGCGCGGAGACTCCTGGCCGACGGGTACTTCCATGCTGGAGGAGAATCTGGCGTGACCAGCACCTTCGAGCACCGACCACGACCGATGCAATGCTACAATTGTCAGGAAATTGGACACAAGGCATTCCAGTGCAAGAACAGCCAGAAGTGTGCAAGATGTGCCGCGGAGGGTCACCGCCACAGCAGCTGCGACCAGACGGTTCCAAAGTGCATTCCATGCGGAGGCCCTCATGAATCGTACAGCAAGAACTGCCGGAAGCTCTATCCATCACGTCATGAATAGAAATCTCCGGATCATCCAACTTAATGTGAGGAAGCGAGGCACAGTACATGAGAGTCTAATGAATGACGAAGATACTCAGAACGCGGTGGCGTTAGCGATCCAGGAACCCCAGGCGAGGAGGATCCAAGGCCGGCTCTTGACTACCCCGATGGGACATCATAAATGGATGAAGATGGTTCCCTCCATCTGGAGGGAAGGCAGGTGGGCGATTCGAAGCATGCTCTGGGTGAAGAAAGAGGTAGAGGCGGAACAAGTGCCGATAGAGTCCCCCGATCTCACGGCAGCGGTCATCCGGCTCCCCAAGCGACTGATTTTCATAGCATCGGTTTATGTTGAAGGGGGCGATGCCTCAGCTCTGGACGACGCATGCAATCACTTACGGAACGCGATCACGAAGGTGCGGCGAGACACAGGCGCGGTGGTGGAGGTGTTGATCGTGGGAGACTTCAACCGACACGATCAACTCTGGGGAGGAGACGACGTGTCCTTGGGAAGACAGGGCGAAGCGGATCAAATCGTCGATCTTATGAATGAATTTTCCCTCAGCAGTCTGCTCAAACGGGGTACAAAGACATGGCATGGCGTAGGACAGACTGGGGACTGCGAGTCCACGATCGACCTCGTCCTAGCCTCGGAAAACCTGACAGACTCCATGGTTAAGTGTGCCATACTCGGGACAGATCACGGTTCGGATCACTGCGGCATTGAGACCGTATTCGATGCCCCATGGTCGCCCCCAAAGCATCAGGAACGACTACTGCTAAAAAACGCTCCATGGAAAGAGATCAATGTCAGGATTGCGAACACCCTAGCCGCCACTCAGTTAGAAGGCACGGTGCAGCAGAAGACCGATCGACTCATGTCGGCGGTCTCCGAGGCGGTACGTGCCTTAACACCAAAGGTCAAACCGTCACCACACGCAAAGCGATGGTGGACAGATGACTTAACGCAGCTCCGTCAAATATATACATACTGGAGGAATCGTGCCCGTTCCGAACGGCGAGCCGGGCGAAAGGTACCACGCCTAGAAGAGGCTGCTGAGGCTGCAGCGAAACAATATCACGATGCCATCCAGCAACAAAAGAAAAAGCACTGGAACGAATTCCTTGTAGACAACGATAACATATGGAAGGCCGCTAAATACCTCAAGTCGGGAGATGATGCAGCGTTTGGAAAGGTCCCGCAGCTCCTGAGAGCAGATGGAACCACCACTACTGATCACAAGGAGCAGGCAGCAGAACTACTGACGACGTTCTTTCCGTCTCTGCCGGACATTATCGACGATGAAGGGAGGAGACCAGAAAGAGGATCGGTTGAAATGCCAGCCATCACGATGGAAGAGGTAGAGCGGCAACTGTGGGCGGCCAAGTCCTGGAAAGCGCCCGGAGAAGACGGCCTGCCGGTGGTAGTCTGGAAAATGACGTGGCTCACGGTTAAGTACAGGGTTCTCGACCTGTTCCAAGCCTCACTGGAAGAGGGCACGTTGCCAAGACAGTGGAGACACGCGAAGATCATACCGCTCAAAAAGCCCAACAAAGAAAATTACAGCATTGCCAAAGCATGGAGACCAATTTCACTCCTCGCGACACTGGGCAAGGTATTGGAATCGGTGGTTGCAGAAAGGATCTCACACGCGGTGGAGACTCACGGTCTGCTCCCGACTAGCCACTTCGGAGCCCGAAAGCAACGGTCCGCTGAGCAAGCACTCGTGTTCTTGCAGGAGCAAATCTACACGGCGTGGCGCGGCCGACGAGTATTAAGCTTGATCAGCTTCGATGTCAAAGGAGCCTACAATGGAGTGTGCAAAGAACGACTTCTTCAGAGGATGAAAGCGCGAGGCATACCGGAGGATCTGCTCCGGTGGGTTGAGGCGTTCTGTTCAGAACGAACGGCGACCATTCAAATCAATGGGCAATTTTCTGAGGTCCAAAACCTACCTCAGGCGGGACTGCCACAGGGCTCGCCACTGTCCCCGATCTTATTTCTTTTCTTTAACGCAGACCTTGTACAACGACAGATTATCAGCCAAGGAGGAGCAATCGCGTTTGTGGACGATTTTACTGCATGGGTGACCGGACCAACTGCTCAGAGTAACCGGGAGGGCATCGAAGCAATTATTGCTGAAGCGCTCGACTGGGAGAAAAGGAGCGGAGCGACTTTTGAGGCTGAGAAAACAGCCATCATACACTTCGCCCCCAAGGCTCACAAAATAGATCAGGAGCCTTTCACTATCAAGGGACAGACCATTGTGCCGAGAGACCATGTCAAGATCTTGGGCGTTCTCATGGACACGAGACTCAAATACAAGGAACATATCGCGAGGGCAGCGTCCAAAGGCCTAGAAGCAGCCATGGAGCTTCGGCGACTTCGCGGCCTAACGCCAGCGACCGCACGGCAGCTGTTCACATCGACGGTGGCCCCGGTGGTCGATTACGCCTCGAGCGTCTGGATGCACGCTTGCAGGGACAAAGCCAGCGGACCGATCAACCGAGTCCAAAGGGTGGGAGCGCAAGCAATTGTAGGGTCATTTCTCACAGTTGCGACCAGTGTTGCGGAGGCAGAGGCTCACATCGCCGCTACACAACGTCGTTTCTGGAGACGGGCCGTGAAGATGTGGACGGACATTCACACCCTGCCAGAAACCCATCCGCTCCGCCGGAGTACATCGTGGATCAAGAAGTTCAGGAGATACCACCGCTCACCATTGTACCAGGTAGCGGACGCACTGAAAAACATCGAGATGGAGACACTAGATACCATCGATCCGTTCGTGTTGGCACCATGGGAGACTCGCGTGCAGACCGATGTTGAAGCAATGGCGGACTCACATGCAGTACCGGGCGGATCAATTCAAGTTGCGGTCAGCAGCTCGGCTCGGAACCGCCTTGTGGGATTTGGGGTTGCGATCAAGAAACAGCCACCTCGGTATCGAAAGTTGAAACTGAAGAGCTTTTTCGTGACACTTGGCGCAAGATCAGAACAGAACCCATTCTCCGCAGAGCTAGCAGCAATGGCACATACATTGAACATGCTAGCGGGACTGAAAGACTACCGGATCACGCTGCTCACGAGCAACAAAGCAGCTGCCCTCTCAATAAGGAACCCTCGGCAACAGTCGGGCCAGGAGTTTGTTCGCCAAACGTATAAGTTGATCCAAAGACTGCAGAGAAACGGAAACCACATCAATATTCTGTGGGTCCCTACCAGTAACGACAATAAGCTGCTAGGTCTGGCCAAGGAGCAGGCCAGGACCGCGACCCTGAAGGATGCCGTCCCGCAAGAAGCGGTCCCCAGGATGAAGTCGACAACACTGAATCTCGCTCGGTCTCAAGCAACTGCCTACAATGACTTGCCGGAGAACGTAGGAAGACACGTGAAACGAGTAGATGCAGCTTTGCCAGGAAAACACACTCGACAGCTGTATGATCGATTATCGTGGAAAGAAGCGAGCGTGCTGGCTCAACTCCGGACTGGCATGGCTAGACTCAACGGTTACCTCCATCGGATCAACGTTGCAGATTCGGACCAGTGTGCATGTGGACAAGCAAGAGAGACCGTGGAACACTTCCTCTTCCGATGTCGGAAATGGACCACACAACGAATAGCATTGCTGCAATGTAGCAACACTCACCGGGGCAATCTCTCCTTCTTCCTGGGCGGGAAATCGCCCTCTGATAATCCGCAATGGACGCCGAACTTAGAAGCCGTGCGAGCCTCAATACGATTCGCGATCGCCACAGGCCGACTCGACGCCTCTTAACCACGTCGACCAACACAATGACACCTTTCCCCTAACCAACCTACACCAACCGCCTTGTGCCAAAGATGGTGGACGCGCTTCAACTGCCGAAGATAGGATGTTGAACACTTGAAGAAGCGCCTTCAAGCCAGTCTACTAACCAACTTACTAACCCACAAGGATCCCTATGATATTGACAACTGAGAGGACATAGAGTGAAGGGATGCATGCATGGGCTCGAAGGAGATGCAGCATATATATATTAGGACATGTACTGATAGATCGTTTCAGTTGCCCTTTCGGCTTAGCCGCCGGGCGTTAATGAATTGTGTGTGTGTGTGTGTNGGACGCGCTTCAACTGCCGAAGATAGGATGTTGAACACTTGAAGAAGCGCCTTCAAGCCAGTCTACTAACCAACTTACTAACCCACAAGGATCCCTATGATATTGACAACTGAGAGGACATAGAGTGAAGGGATGCATGCATGGGCTCGAAGGAGATGCAGCATATATATATTAGGACATGTACTGATAGATCGTTTCAGTTGCCCTTTCGGCTTAGCCGCCGGGCGTTAATGAATTGTGTGTGTGTGTATTCCACAAAGCCCCCAGTGAGCTCGCACTGGGCAGCAGTCCTAGCCAGGCTGCTGGGACGATGGATTCATACCTTCTCGTGGTGTCCGGTGTTAATCCTCGTGGAGGAGACCAAATTAATCCGCCGTGGTTGTGCGGTTCGGCCCGGTGCGGGAAGCGACCGCACAACCACACCAAAATCAGGGGACAACGGGATACGAAAACCATCCGACTTCTTTTTACCCGACTCGCACTCGGGCCCGATACTGGTCTTGCATCACCAGTGGAAGTGGTGTCGCCTAAGGAGAAGACAGGACACCCCTGAGCTTGCATACGGTCTGGGATCGCATCGTGCGAGATGCGGCGAGGCGGTGGTGAACCGGTGACACAGGCAGCCAAGCTAATATCGAACAGACCTCGTTCAAGGCCCAGGAGACCTCGTTAAGACTCAAATTCGTTAAGACTTGAATATACCGCCTCAAAGACCTCGTTAAGGCCTGGCCACGGGCAACATTTGACGCGGCTCCTCTTCTTGACACGGACAGCACCGAGACACGGGCATCCTCCTGGGAGATACACGGGGTTTCTGGAAGGGATTGGTATTTGGCTGGTGGCAAACGATGGACCTCGTTAAGGCGTTGCCACGGGCAAACCATCGATCCTGCTCAGGCATTGGGGAACAAGCTTGGTTAGTGGAAAGTGGCCGACGTGCACTGCCGGACGGAGCGTACACGAGGGCTTTCTGCAAGACACGGTCGGCCTGGCGGGGGGAGACCTCCCCAGGTAACGCGAAACGAGAGTTCAAGCTCTCGCGGGGCGTGGTGTACAACGGCAGCCACTGCGACAGGGTCGGGGCCTGTTAAGAGACTATGTGTATGGCCCGAGAGGACGGATGCGCGTGTCGGTATACAAACAGCCGGGAATCAACTACCTCACTCGCACTGAGGGCCTGAGATCAGCTAAGCCTGATCAAAGCGGTGTCGTCCTAATTGATTGGCCCGTGATGTATGCTTAAGGAGCAAACTGAGAGACACCCAGGGTGAGAGGCTTTGTCCACCTCAAAAGTCCAGAAGCCTCGTTTATTGGGTGAAAACTGGGGTAGTGGTCTATGCAAGTAGGCCTGCCAAAGCTACTTGATGTCTCTTGGCCTCGGCAACAGTCGGGCCAGGAATTCGTCTGCCAATCGTACAAGCTGATGAAAAGGCTGCGGAGAAACGGAAACCACGTCAATATCCTCTGGGTCCCTACCAGCGCGGACAATAAACTGCTAGGTCTGGCCAAAGAGCAAGCCAGGACCGCGACCCAGAAGGATGCCGCCCTACAAAAATCTGGCCCCAGGATGAAGTCGACAACACTGAAGATCGCTCGGTCTCAAGCAGCTCCCAGCAATGACTTACCGGGGAACGTAGGAAGACACGTGAAACGAGTAGATGCAGCACTGCCAGGGAAACACACTCGACAGCTGTATGATCCATTATCGTGGAAAGAAGCGAGCGTGCTGGCCCAACTCCGGACTGGCATGGCCAGACTCAAAAGCTATCTCTGTCGGATCAACGTGGCAGACACGAATCAGTGTGCATGTGGACAAGCGAGTGAGACCGTGGAACACTTCCTCTTCCGATGTCGGAAGTGGACCACACATCGGACGGAAATGCTGCAATGTACCCACACTCACCGCGGTAACATATCATTTTTCCTAGGCGGAAAATCGCCTTTGGATGACACGAATTGGACGCCGAATTTGGACGCAATGCGAGCCTCGATACGATTTGCAATCGCCACGGGCCGACTCGATGTCGCCTAACCCCACCCACCAGCACAACGACACCCACTAACCCCCACCAACTACCTTGTGCCAGAGATAGTAGACGCGCTTCAACTGCCGAGGATAGGATGTTGAACACTTGGAGAAGCGCCTTCAAGCCAGTCTACTAACCAAATCACTAACCCACCAGGATCCGTATGATATTGACAGCTGAGAGAGGACATATGTTGCAAGCATCCATGTATGGGCTCGAAGGAGACACGGCATATATATATTGGGATATGTATTGATAGATCAGTTTCAGTTGCCCTTTCGGCCTAGCCGCCGGGCGTTAATGAATTGTGTGTGTGTGTGTGTGTGTGTGTGTATATCTTATCCGAAAGGACTTTTCAAAAGATTACAAAGTGTTTAAGGGGGCGGATTGCAGGAAGAGGCGCAGAACTAGAATATCCACTATTTACTACTATGGCGCCAAGATCATCCGCAAAAACATCTGAGATGGATACGAGAGGCATGTATCGCATCATTTCGCTTACCTAGTTATCTATATTGACATCTTATATCATCATAATAATGTTACATGAGAATATACCAATTTTGGTGGATTTCTTGGCAGCACAAAGGTACACAGACTAACAGAACTGATGAGGCCAATACACGGGAAGAAAACAGTTATGTAACTTGACGTATGGAAAATACTAGCGCCGCTAAAAGGAACTGCCACCCCCACAACCCTGTCCCAAGAAGATGGCCTGCTTTATGGAAACATATCTCTAGTAGAGGAACTTCGGGGCCGCAACAAATTGTGAGCGCATATAGTGGTTCAGAAAAAAATCACCAATTGCTGACTTGATATCTCCATGTTTGCTGCCCTTAATTAGACTAAATGCTAGAGATATGGGTCTATGATTATGAAGGCTCTTCACTCTTCTGTGTTCCCATGTTGATCCAGGAAGTCTAAAGAATATCGAGAGTAGTGACCGCTTGGAAATGTTCACGTCCCGAGATCTCTTCATATCCTTCCAACGCCCGTTGATGAATCGCTTCCGCCTCTTCAATTTCCCTTGGCTGTCAAGTTCGTCGCCGTTTCCACTACAAACCGTCGCCATTTGAGATTGAGAAACGAAAACAGAAACGCCCAAAGACCGTATCCGCCGCCCAGTCGTTGTCCAGGTTCCTAAATTCAGCATTACCAGCATTCTCAAGATTCCTGGTGGAGATGCAGCCAGCTGCGGACAACTGTTGGCCGCCTTATATGGGAACCCACTATAGCCGCACCATGACGGCAGCCTAATAACGGAAATGGCAACAAGGCCACGCGACAGGCTTTACCAGGTGAGGCTCAAAGTTCACCGTTCAGGCAGTTTGGAACAATCACAGGGATCAATCATCATGTATTTAGAAAGTAGTTGTATCCTGCATATCGGTCGCGAAGTTGGTTTACCCAACTAGGCCAAAATACGAATCCGTACCTAGCCTAGTAGGCTGTGGTTTATAATCCAACTCGCGAGGGGTCAGGGTAAATTAATTCACACACACACACACACACACACACACACACACACACATATATATATTGTAACGTGCAGAATAATGCCTGTCGCCTCGCAGAAACATGGAAACGTCAGTGATTCTTGGGGGACCAGCCACGCCCGGGGTAGGACAAAGGAATAATAGTCGTTAGGTCAATTGGGCACGGCTGAGAGATGACTCTGCGGTCTGGTCAAGTGATCCATCTAAATTCTTCGCAGTGGCCCATTCGTTTATGTCACGTAGAAAGCGACGAGCAGTCCCAATTCGAATCCCGCGCTAAACGAAGAAGCCAGAGTCTGGATCCTCGAGGATCAGTTCAAGATCTAGATGATTCTCCAAAATCACCTGGCAAATATTGCGGAAATCAGCTTTGTATGCCTCCCCAACGACACGTGACTCCAGCCATTTGCAGTATTCTCTCACAGCTGTGTCACGAGGCCCGCAATCATCAGCCGCTCCTCAGAAAAGGGCCTAGGTAGAGATGAAGTAATCACGGGCGCACTGCCGTTTTGTGCTGGTGGAACATTGACAATTGTTGGAGGATATGGGTGTCCCGTTGTTGACACATCAAAATTTTTCGATTTTCTTCCTGCTTGGCTTTCCAGGACTAGGTCTCCACAAATATCACCTAGAATATCATCACCATGACCGTCTAGGATGCCATCTTCATCGACATAGTTGATAAGCCGTTCTAGATGCGGGGTCCTGAGTTTGTAATGTTTTTTGTCCTTCGGGTCCTCCCAGCACAAGTCAGACTTATGCGGACACGAGCGGACATTACTCGCATGAGCTCGTATACGCGTTCCCAAGTCGAAGGTCGTCCAGTAACATCTCGTACTTGACTTTCCGAGTGGGGCCGAGATAGGTGGCGAGGGACACGGGCACGCTGGGAATCTGGAGTACGATTGCGGGGACATGATGAACTCGTCATGTACCCCGGATCAAGCCGTGGAACAGGATATTTTGAAATGTAGACTAATTCGGAATATCCGGGGTCAAGGCTCGAGACCTGGAAAAATCGGAATGTGGGGTGCCGCCGGGGCGGAAGAATCACAATCCGGCATGTTAACCCGTGCTCCGCTCGGGTCATTCTCTTGTGCAATATTGCAGTGTCGACATTTGGTTGGTAATGGAGTCTAGTCTTGAGGACTCGCTAGCATGCGAGTTCTGTAGAAGGTCCTTTGGCCGCCAAGAACACCTTGATCGCCATGTCCGCTCACATTCAAATCACCGCCCCTTTCGCTGTGATGGCTGTCATCGTCATTTCTCACGACGGTATGTCACTTATGAAAGACCGTCAGAATATTATATTTCAGGGCTTCTACTTACGCTTTTGTCAGAGATACTCGAAACCGCCATATCGCCATAAGCTGTCCTAAAGGGGGAGGTACTCGTGCTAGAACTTACAACAGCCGAGCAACAGCAGCATGTGTCCATTGCTCACGCTCAAAGATTCGCTGCTCAACTGGAAGTCCCTGCTCTCGCTGTCAGGACAAAGGACTTAGCTGCAGCTATCGCCTGTCAAAAGACACGAGTGGACGCTCTCGAGTTCCCAAAGTCTCTCGTGCTTCAAGCATACAGTCAGAATCTCCGACGGGGCATGATGAGGTGACAAGAGACCAAATTCTACCTCCCCGGCTATCACAGGGAACTGATAAAGAAACTCAAAAAGAGTTTATCTCCTCGGTCTCCACAGGTGAGAAATCTTCCCTTTGTTGTCCAAGATATGTGAATCTCGGATATCTAATCTAAACTATTAAAGACATAGGCATTCATTCTTCCACAGATCCATTTTCAAGTGGGCATACAGATTTCCGTCAGCGAGAAGGAATGCTTTGGCAAATTCCAGATTTGCCAGACTTAGCGCACCTGGATTTGCTGATGCCGTTTGAAGACAACAGCTTCATCGTCCCTGAGTCAATGAATGAAAGCTCTACTTTCAACCCATACTCAAGCAGGGAAGGCACTCTGGAAAACGTCTTCCCACAGAGTGCTTTGATTGACACCAGAAACTCACATTTTCGATCTGTTTCACAACTTTCTTTTAAGCCCGAAATCCAAGGTTTTAAATCTGAAGGAATAGTTCGACCGTCCTTATGGCGAACAAGTCGTTCAGGCTCTCCGTCTCATGATGGAAACTTCCCTTTGAACGCTAAAATCGATCACCGTACAAAAAATGGTCACCAGTCTATCTTAATCTCTGACAGGGACATCTTGGAAATGGATGACTATGCTCACGTGTCAAAACTAACATCCGGAAATGCAATATTGCAGGAAATGTTTGACTTCATTGGCCAAGAACAACAATATGTTTTGGGAGGGGTTGATTCGGAAATCCCAGATTTGTGCGATGAAAAGTCGATCAACATTTTCATCCAACTCTACTTTGAGTTTTTCCACCCTCGATTCCCCATGCTCCATACTCCGACATTTAATACTTTCAACACTACCTGGCTTTTGGTCCTGGCGGTTGTTACGATTGGCAGTCGATACTCGAGAATAAGTCAAGCTCAGCAGTATGCCAATTTCTTTGGAAAATATCTCAGGCGTGCCATTACATCTCAGGTATGATACTTCCTTTCTATCTTGATCTCATAATACTATTTTGCCAACGGTTCCTTTTGCTTACACATCATTTGCATTGAAGGTAGAAAGAGAACCACGGCACACATTGCGCGTACCGTTCATTGCAGCGATTATCCTTAGTCAGATCGATATGGCATACAGTGGTGCGAGTAAACTGGTTCTTCAGTCTCAATTCCAGAGAAACCTATTGGGTACTCTATGTCGCGGCCTTTGGGGTGGACTTGCAAAAGGAAATTTCACCTACGCCATTGAAAATCCTCACGGTAGCAAAGGACCGTACTATGAGTGGCTAGGCCGAGAGCTAGCTATACGTGCAGTTTATAGTGGATGGGTAAGCCATGTCTCTAGTATCTGCCTTGCATTTAACATATACTGACATGCCGTAAAGCTTGTTGATTGCCAGTTGAACGTAAACTGTGATATTTCGGCAATAATGAGTCTAGATGATTTTGATCTCCCATTACCATGTCGGGAAAACATTTGGATTATGACTGAAAGACAGTGGATGAAGGCCTTTCAGGACGGTATGATATTCGCCTAATCACCTTTCCAAGGTTTAAGATACACCTCTAACATTCGAATAGAAAATTTGGAGAATTCAACATCACCACCCCATATGCATAAAGCCTTGACTATCTTCTCCCAGGGTGGCAACGATGCCCCGCCTATGGGGGACTTTGCCCGAGCGCTTACTATGGTTGCCATGTATCAGCAATCGCGAGTGATCATGGAAGCTGCATTGATCATGTCAAATACTACCCCGAGATCTCGCTTACAAAACATTCTCAACAATCCGATATATACTGCATGGAGGGAGTCTGCTCTAAAGTCTCTTGCAGTGCTGAACCATAACTCAAAAAACCCCATGTTGTCGGATTTGTATCATCAGCTCATGATTGTTGTTCACATTCCTCTCAAATGTCTTTGCATTCTTGCGGGTTGGTTGTCTACGGAGGACTCAATCCTTGAATCAAAAAAACAACTATCTTCTTGGATGAATGATGATCCTCCAGCTGCACGAACGACAGTCCTTCATGCCGCTCTCTTGTTCAAGTCGCTTCGATCAAGACCATTAAATTCATACATCGAGGGTCATGCTCTTTTGGCTGCTACCCTCACAATTTGGGCTTACGCATTACTTCATCCAGTCAGACCAGAAGGCACGCTAACCGGCCCAATAATCTATCTTGACCGCCATATGGATGAAGACCAAGAACGATCGTGGATTTTGTATACAAACGAGAGTTCCCCTCTGTATATTTCGGGTGTTGGGTGTATTCTCAATGCTGGTGCAGCCACTCGAGTGCTTCTGGAAGCAAGGGACTGTCTAGCTCGGCAGAATAGGGAATGGGGGGTATACAATTTGTTCATGTCTGTCTTTGAAGCAATGGCTTCATCCGGAACTGCGCTTAGCTTAGATTGATCATTGCATGTAAAATTTCCATTATTTCCAGATTTTCTTTTCTTCTTCACGAATTGTACATGTGAAAGGGAAATTGTTGAATTTGTGGACAATTATTTATGGGCAATAAATAATATACACTATCTATCGTACCTCCAAAAGACTTTTACACCCAAACTACTGTGTTACGTAACGAGCTGAGCCTATTTTCCTCTCAAATTAGCCTACCTTCAATACAGGCAAATATCAAACATGAGGTCCAACGTACCATAGGTGCCCGAGCCTGCAACGCATCATTGAAAGCTTTCTTTACAAGTTCGCTCTTCCCGCTTCTTAGTACCAGGTTCACTGGTAAATCGTTATTCGGGTTTCCCGGAGGCTGTCCGCGATAGTCCGAGGGATCTAGTGGAAGCTTTGCCGTTGAAGAAGGCTTGACATCAAAAGCCCAGAGTATACGCATGATAGAAACAGCAAGTGAGCGTTCAGCAACGTGATAGCCAGGACCTGCCCCAATAGGTATATTGTTAGCCAACGGGAACCAAGCATTGAAGACCGAATCTTTATGGGCTTCAAACTTACACACGCGCCTTCCCGAGCCAAAGGCAAAGTGATCTCGCTGCGTAACATCTGAGGAGTTGATACTCTGCATTGTCTTGAGAAATTTGTTGTTAGTGGTTATATTACTAGACTTATCATTATGAGCTCACTGTAGTTGTGTCATGTGCATATCTTTCCGGCCAAAAGCGCTCGGGGTCTTCGTGGCGGTTGGCGTCGTGCCCGATAGCCCTGTGAAGAAAAATAAATATCAGTTTCGATGGTTTTTTATTACATGTGATGTGTGACAAAAATCCATGCAGTCTTTGCAAAGAATGTTCTTACCAGGAATTTATGCGGATCCTCGAGCCCTTCGGGATGCGGTAGCCTCCATATTCGATCTCCTTGGTTGTAACATGAGGATGTCCTAGCGCAACTGGTGGACGCCAGCGCCAGACCTCTTTCATCATGCAGCGCACGTATGGAATTGAGGCAAGATCTTCGAACACGGGAATTCGGTCACCAACAACGTCATCTATCTTTATTCAGTAAATTGATATCGTCCAATGTATATTTGCTTACCGATCTCTTTTTGAGCCTTCTTTTGGACATCCGGAAAATGAAGCATGGCTTCGAGGAATGACCAGGTAGACATTTGGCTCTACATGCGATGTCAGCTCATGCTGCGCTTATTGGCAAAAAGGCTTCAAACCGTGTCTGCTGCCGCTAAGACTAGCATAAGTGACAAGTATGCTGCTTCCTCGGGCTCTACCCCATATTTCTTCGACTCCTGAAGAAGAGTGCGAAGGAATGCCTCTTTGGGGATCTCTGGGTCGGTGGACTTGGGGTTTTTGACCCGCTGGATATATTGTGAGCAAGTTGGAACAGGAGGAAGGACAGTGTATCGAAATTCATACATCCAGGCGTTCCATGCACCATGCCAAGTCCCTTCTAAACCGTTCTCGTGAACGTTGCTCCCATGGCTTCAAAAACATGGGCATCATATCCAGGAAGGGTAGCACATCAACGACGTATGAGCCGGGAAGTGTGCCTGGAGAATATTAGACATGAGAATCATGGGTTATCGGATAGCTCATACCGAGAATCTGCGCCAGTCCGGTTTCTGTACCGTGATTAGTTAATTGTTAAACTGTGATAATATATTTTTCTTGGTTTCTTTACCGTGAATGTACCCGATTACTGGGCTATTCGTATCTGTGATCTGGTCTTTGGTTAGCGAAACCCATAAAACTGTTAATCTTGGAAGTAATATCTTGACTAACCTCCATTCCAAATGTCTGAGAAGTAAAGGTACTATAGGTATACCTTGAGAGGCTTTCCAAGAATTTTGAATTTGACAGCCCGTTTGGTCCAGCACTGGCAACCTCATTGAGGAACTTTGCAGATTCAAAATGCAAAAATCTGCGAATTTCATACCATTAGCGAATGCAAGATATTCATCGCAGTTTCAATGGACTTACTTGAGAGCCGCATCGGCATTAGGTATACTAGTCATGCACGAGTGTATAATACGGCGTTGATTCTAGGAAGAAGTCAGCAATTTGACCTACCAGAGCGAATAGTACTCTTTAATGACATACCTTCCATCTAGCGTCACTAGAGTTCAGAAGAAGTACATTCATTTTATTGCAGATCTGCTCGTTACTGACTATCCAGCGAGGCCGCTCGGCAGTAACAGCAGATGCACGATCAAAGATTTCCTGCAAACATTAGCTCAAAGCCCAATACTAGCATACACAAGACTTTCTCGTCACCGACTTACCTTGACTGCACGGTCCGAGTTAACATAGTATTCAGTCATGGGTCCGATTTTGACTCCGACGATATCCCCATGCTTCTCGGCCCATTTCTGAAGCAAAATATGCTGCGATGCTTGCTTGGCGTCTTTCACAAACTCAATCAAATTTCCTAAGATGGGGATGCCGGGAGGACTGGGTGGTAGTGGAAGCGTTCCCCTTTGGGTGACATATTTTTGCCATATTCGGTATGTCAAAAACGTCAAAATGCTGAGCACGAAAATATGCGGCACGTGGGGAAGAATTGCATCCTTGATGAACATCTTGGTAGTAAGACGTGCCGTTGGAAAATATTGAGAGTGCAGGTCTGCATAAACTTGGAAGAGCATGGGAACCTGAGCTTTTTTTAAAAAAAATGACTTGATTGTTACTCTCCACTCGGCTTTCTGTCATCCTGGGGAAAGTTTGCGGGGATCAAGTACTGGCGTTGAGTCGGTGGGGCCGACAGAGTCGGCATGGCGGAGCACTCGGGATATCGAGCGAAGCCTCTCAGCCAATTGCTCTCGTAATGAATCTTCTTAATGCCACAAGCTATATCTCTCGCGAGTCGAGTGTTTAAAAGTAAAAATTTCTTACAGTATATACTGAGTGTGTTGTAGATCAGCCAAGCCGTGCGGCCGGTGCCCACGCGACGCGAGTGTTTTTTTGTAGATGCATTAACAAACTCAAGAGAATCCAGAAGAATAATCAATGAGCGACATATCATGTTTTCGTCAATCTGCCTTTCTGATTAAGGAAGCATCTTATCGAGGTGAGGCCGCTCAGCGCCGTGCTCTGATTGCCGCAATTATCGAGCATGTATGAAGATTAACTAACAGAAGCCGGCAAGTCTGTGGATGAGACGAACCTGTCACTGCTTTTCCAGGAGGGTTCTGAGACTTTTATATTCGACGCGGCTTCTCGGGACTTCTATTCTAAATTGACAGCTCCTGAGAGACAATTGCATGTTCCTGGAGACAATGTGACTACCCCAGGGATCATGCTTGTGAGCTCCAGAGAGCCCGGGATATCCTAGGAGCTCTTCTAAGACGACCAGAAGCATGCAGGCGACTGGTGACAGGGCATGACCAGCTTGAATGCTTGCCTACATTTTCTTCAAAATGATCAAGGCCTGCTACGGAAGGGGCGCATTCCTTCACAGCGCGAGGCAGCTACACCCAGGTGATGCTGATCAAATACATTTAATTCATTTCAGACGAAGCCACGATATGGGTTATAAACAGGATCTTGACCCTAGTTTGGCATCCCAGCCGCCTTAACTATCCCATTTCCATCATTTGAATCGTTTCTCATTTCCACATCTCACCAAGTTATGTCTTATTCCCAAGATTGGGATCGTTTTACGAACGGGATGGGTGTCAGTCTCGCTACCGAGGCTCGAATCTGCTGCGGAACTACTACGGCGGGTGCGCCGTGCAAGAACTCCATCAAATTCCAAGATTTCAAGACTGGGCAACAGCAATTGGCAAATTTCGCCGCACAGCCATTCGAATTCTTGACATTACGATCCACCTTAAATGATATCGCGAGGAACTTTCTCTGTGCCAGATGGCACCGGCAGCGACAGGCTGACCAGCTTGGGCAGCAGTGGTATGAGGCGGTCGTTCGGAGCCGGGAACATGCCAGACACACCTCCGAGGTCGCTGCCGTAGCACCCGATATCGAAGCGGACCAGAGCCAGCGATCGACATTTGGGCGCCCAACAGACCCGGTGCTTTCCTCTAGAGCCACAACCCAACATGAGGATGAATCGATATCCCTGGTCCGTGATCCAGCTCCTCTCGGGCCTTCGGAAAGAATCTGCAGATACGTCATGGCTTCGATGTTACGAACCAACAGCGCTCCGTGGTGTATCTCACCGGCTCAGCCAGCTACCCTGTCGGGCTTCAATATCGGGGCGGGGATGCAAAATCTGGAACTGCACAGCCTCACTCTCAGCGACGAGGTGTCTGCTATCTATTGTCCATTCTGTTTAGGAGACGATGAAGAGTATCTGGACGAGAGCGTGATCCTTCGTTGTAACCGGTGCCGGGGATTGGCTCATCTGAGCTGTGTGGAAGAATGGCTGGAGAAGCGCGACGCGGGACCTCACGTGTCCTGCTGTGCCTGGTAAGTTCCAACTCGCCAGCCTCCCCGGTGGATTCGAACGCTAACACGATGTAGCCGAAGTGACGGAGCACTGGATGCTCTGCTCCGCTCACCGAGAGCGAGGGCGAATCCTGACCCAGCAAGTGAAGATGCGGAAACACACGCAGCTCTATTGGTGGAACGTTCGGATGCCACCAATAGCCCTCACCAGTCGAGTTCAGATCGTCTACCAGTGCGGTCAGTGTCATCGCCCCACAGACGAGCACCCTGTAGTACAACACGCAGTGTCCGCCGGTCGGCCCGCCTGGCAGAGAACAATACACCTCGCCGGTCGCCGCGTCTGAACCGAACTTGAATGCAAGGTTGCACCGACGCGAGCAATTGTTAGATGGATAGCATGTCGGAGAGAGGCTGTACATCAGATGCAATAATCCGGGATATCACATGCCCCAAGCACTTGTTAGATGACTTAGTCATATCCTTGATCGTATTACAGAGTCGTTGAAAGATGTGACCCGGAACACAATAAATATTACCCTCCCCTTGTCCATCGTGGATGGGAAATCTAGAGGGATTCGACGTTTGATTACACTCAAGATAAGAGGACGATACGACATCGGGCCTATTTCAGGCGCCTAGGTGCACATGGAATGTTAGCATAGAATGTGTTTGGTTCTAGCATGATCATACCGCTTGGCTTCCCGTAACGTATAGCTTGCCCGCACTCTACCTTCTTGTCAGATCATCATATGTTGCAGAGCTAAGCTACTCTCCGAACGGTTTACTGGGAAAGACCCCCCACACTCTCATACGACCCCGGCGATAGTCGATCAGACGGCACCCCATAAAAAGCTCGATCTTCGTTCAGCGCAATCGTGGCATAATAAGTCGATGTGTGCGACAGACCGGTAAAGAGGCACTTTCGGTGTGTCTGACGAGCGGACTGCTGGCGGCAGCCACAGGGCACCGTCTCGTAGGGGAGGGCTGTACCAAAGGGTCAGCATTTGGTTTTTGGATGATTAATGACCACTTACCTGCTTGATCGTGAAGAAGCGCCATCTCAGTGTTCGCACAATTGTCATCATGAAGCACAACATGATAGTCTGGGCCGTTCGGGCCGAGCATGCGAAAAGATTCCGCCTCATTGTCTTCCCAACTGACCAGAATGCCTCCGGGGTATGGCTTTAACTTGATGCTGTGCGGCAGATATCGTAGTCGCCGACCAATCTGGCGCATGAATTTCATTTCTGCTGGTCGAGACGTCGGATGTGCTTTGAAAATGGATGCGATCGATCGAACCAAGAGCTCTTCCACCACATGACAACAGAAAAAAGGTTTGTGTCGGCGAGGTTGCTCGGAGACCAGGGCCGGCAGAATGTCCGATGGTGCGTACAAGCAAAGTCCAACCATCAACAATGTATCTTGTGCATGCCCTGTCCCTTGTCAAAGTATACGTCGACTTTGTCGGCTGAGCCTCGGACATAGAATACCTGAATATGGTCGGTGAACCTCAGCAGAGCGAATCAGGCTCGCAACGCGCGGTCGACTGTTCTTGCACATGTTGTGTTTGGAATGACGCAGGGCTTCGCATCCTTGAACAGCTCTTGCCGATCCTCTTCGACGGTTCGGATGGGGCAGTGGGCACGCAGTATGTGCCACAGCGTGTCGGGCAGGCGTGCGGAGCGTTTGCCGAGGCTGTCCCGGATTGTATTCGCGGTCTGTCTGCATCAGTTATCAAAATGTGGAAATGTCTATACATGTGAGCATACCTGGTTATTGCTTCTCTCGCTGTAAAAGAATTCCTTATCTGCTGACTCGCGCAGCAAGTATTGCCAGATCCGAAGCGCCGCCGGTGGCTCTCAAAGAGGGCCTATCATCTCGGCGTCGGCGGAACGGGCGTGCCTCCGCAGGAGATCGACAAGTAGAGGCAAGATGGGTGTCTTCCTGCTTGCGTAGAGCTTCCTCCCATGTCTGTTGTACTTGGCGAGCCGCATCCCGCCAGGATGCCAGTCTGCCACGGTCGCGGCAGGTGGTCGAATAGGCGAACTTGTACGCGAAGAGGAATGCGCCACCCACGGTGGAATTGGTCAAGGTGATCCCATTGTGATACAGCTGACCTCGAAGCTGGGGATCAAGAATCAAGTCGCCGTGTGGTGTGGAAGTGATATCGGAAGGGTAGGTGAGTCCGCGGATGTCCTTGTCGTCAAGCGGAGCCAGTTCAAAACGCGTCTGGCGCGACCAGTCGGCCTGACTTGGCCCGCGTCGCGCTGATCACCGCTGCCACATCCCTCTCCACATGGGACCGAAGGTTTGCCATGTCTAGAGCAGGATCGGCCCACTGGATCGACTTGGTTTTCTGAGATGGCGCCACAGTACAAGAAATGGAAGTGCAGTCTGTATGCATGTCAAATCTCCAATTGCAACCACTCGCGGCGATACTCACCTGAAAGCCATCTCGAGAGAGAACCAACGCCGCCGGCTTGAGACCCTCGCCGTGACACACCACAAGACGGTCGTGGGCGTCTTTAGTTGAGAATCCCATACCAAGGGCATTGATGGGGAGTCGCATGCAAGCATTTGCGATGGGGATGAAACCCAGGGCGCGTCGATCATCACTTTCCGCTGGCCGATCGGCAAGGTTACGGTCGGGAACAATAATTGAAAGACCACCACTGTGGTCTTCCAAGACTGGCTGGAAGCTCTGACGGTCAAGCTCGAATCTTTCCATGAGGGCATCTTTCCTGCGTAAATCAGCGCTTGTCCAGTGAAGGAGGCTCATACATACCAATTTTGATACAATTCTCGAAAAGCATTTGCTTGTGTCCAATCTTTCATGTAGCCGGGAAAAATTCCGAAAAACCACGCGCCGGGAGGATAGGCATATAACGAGGGGGTTTTCTGACTTTCGAGTAGCTCACATTCCAGCTGCTCGTTTGCCAGGACCATGATGCTATCATCCTCGCAAGCGTCGGCGCTGTAATGGTGTGTCATTCTTGAAAATCAAGCTTGCGGATCGGGTGTGAATTGGGATTGGGAAGAATGCCAACCGGGGTAGGATGACACTATTTATGTTGTGGCTTCCTTCCGTATTGAAATCACATATCTACTAGAGATGTTGAGCAACAGTGCTCTCTCCATCAAAAAGAGACAGTTTAAGGATGAGAAGCGCTTGGCTCACTAACTTGAGACTTGGAGTGTCAGGATTAACCAGCGAACGCTGTCGACTTGTCTGCTATGAAATTGATGCTCGACGTTGACGGTGGGTCTCGCCTGTTACAGGCGCTGCCGTAGGCATTGGTGACAGCGTTGAGCCAATGCTTTCCTGGTGTCCAGTCAACAAAGAGTCAACATGCTTGCAAGCTATTTGGATAGTATACTCTGTGACACCGCACTTGCTAGTGACTTGACCGAGCCTGCAGACATGCGTTCGCACAAGCGATTTCAGTCTAGGAGAGGAAAAATTGCTCAGCGGTTTATGGCATTGCATCCAAGTAGAGCGTTTCTGGCTCCGCTTAGTTTGACCTGCGTCCTGTCTATGTACAAAGTTGATGGACTGACTTCCATTCTTCTCACTCAGCCTGAAGCACAACACAGACTATTTGCTAGGAATAGGTAGGGCTAACACGGATGCTGGGCCATTCTAGAAGGGACATGAACACCAAAAAAGATTCTCCAGCTTTTTTCAGCCGTTCCTAACCTGACATTGGCCCCAGGAACCCAATGCTGCTTCCAGGAGCATGGTGAATTGTCGCGAGGAACAATCCTGTTGGGCTGTAGGAGCGCAACGGAGGCCAGGATTCGTCACGCAGACTCCGGGGAGCCTCGCCTACCCCTGGGAACATCTAACTAGTCTATTCCCTCACTGTTACCACATTGAGGGTTGCTCCGTGGCAAATATGTTTTATAAATAATCTCCGACCTTTCACAGATTTAGCTTAGGTATGGAAAGGCGACCTGAATATTTATTACTCTTGAGGATTTCCTACCGAATAAGTTACAGCTGGTTACCAGCATGAATAGCTTGCTCTAAATTGGTACTGTATTGGCAGGTATTGTGGAATTTAATTCACCCAAGCTTCTTTGTTGTGTAGCTAGCACTGGTAAAATGTTGGAATTGAGGGCAATCAAAATATGTGGTATAGTCGGAAATCCCAACGCCGGGATGGCCACGTTGGCTAAAGCATGTGGAACCGCTCAACATCAACACCATCAACACCATCAACACCATCAACACCATCAACACGTCAACACCATCAACACCATCAACACGTCAACACCATCAACACCATCAACACGTCAACACCATCAACACTTCAACGCCATCAGTACCAGTATCAACACATGACCAATCTTTCCCCCTATTCATAATTGCGTGTGAAATAAATTAGACTGCAGTAGTCGGGTTTCTCACCTACTACTGTAAACGGAGGCTGTTGGCCCAATTCACTTGACACTTGACAAACAGGAAAAAAGTCATTCCTGCTGGCTACTTTATTATTCTGTTCACGTAGTCCGATGGATCAGAGCGGTAAATGGGATGATAATGGCTGTAAGCAATTGGAAAAGTAAAGTAGTGTACTCTGTATAGTTCAAATTAATATAGAGTAACTTCAGGCACTCGTCATTAAAACATATTGAGCATAGTAAAATTACGTGAATTGACCTAATTGGTGCGACCTAAAAGGATGCCGGAGCCCCAAGTAGTTCTTAGCAAATGCTGGTGGCATTATGCCATGCTTGGATGGTTGGACCTTGGGCTATTGCAAAAGACCGCCTCACTATCGGCATGAGACGGGAGTACCTCGTGTTATCTCCAAGAGCATGTTATCTCGTTGGGCTGTATTCTGGTTGAGCAAGACTAGATACATTACTACGTAGGCTTTATGATGAAATCCCCTGCTGAATAATATTCAAAGACTTTGAAATGCCTTGGATTTTTCCATCACCCAAAGCGTGCCTGAAGATTCAATCACTAACGCTGTTGATCGTATTAAATAAGCCGTCTTTGCTCACAGACCCAGTGCACATAGTTCCAGAGCTTGGAAAATGATCGATTCTCTCGTCCATCGCGACTCGGTGAATATGATTCATGAGCTGCAAAAAGAATAAGCCTTGAACCAAAGAAAAAGTGAAGATCTTCTCATACCAGATGACGATGCTTCGGCCGACGGCGGTTTTTGACTCTTGACGCCGTCTGGCGCAACCTTAGGAATGTCATGGAGCCATCGTCTAACATTTCCGCAACTGATAGAATCACTGCTCGAAAGATTGCATCGTGTGTTGCTGGTGGCTCTCAGACGTCGGGATTTTCCCCGGCCCTTTGAGGTTGTCGCCTGCCGCGACGGTCTGACACGACCAAGGCGACTTTTTCGTAGGATATGGTATTTCTTCCCTCGTAAGGATTCAACCGACCGTTTCACCCCAACTTGGTCCAAATAGGCATCAGAGCGAGCGATCCATGGCAGTTCGCTGTTCTCCTCTAACCAGGGAAGAAGGTTATCTTCCTCCCGTTTAGACCATGGTGTTGCACTGCGCGAGTACATGGTGATAATCTTGATCCCGATGGTTGGAGGCTGGTTATGACAACAAATAGAGGGCAGGTAGGTAGGCTTTGTTGAGCTTTAATCCTCTCGTTTCGCATCATCTAATGCCCGCTCTATTTAGCAACGGAGCGCCGCACAATTAGGTAATATATTCTAGCTGTTTGTTTTAGGTCAACGAAATTGATTGACAGAACCCGTTTCAACGTTGATAACACAAGTAATTCTCATCGTTGCTGAAAAGAACCGGGGGGACGTACTCCAAACGCCTTTGCCATGGAGGTGGAGAATGTAACGTTAGATATACTTTGAGGTCGAACCATGGGACTGAGAACAAATACTTTGTCAAGTTGATAATTGAACATCTCAACGGTGAAACGAAGAGTTTCAAGTTGGTGCCATTCGACTTCATGCATACATGGCTCTGTGCCTTTGCTGTCCGATAGGACGAAGTGCACGTTGAGTTTGTGGGACCATCAACGTTGACCTGAGAAAACTTCAGACGGTCTTAAACTGATTACAACATGCGGTGCTGGAAATGGAAAGTTTGGAAAACCATGGGATTCTTGGCTACAACTCAATGGGCAAGAGTTGTGAATTAAAATCAAAAAAGTCAAACACTGTAGCTCGATTTAAAAATCTATATAATGGCCATCATCTGAACAACGTGAAACAAGAGCCACGCGACCTCTTCCCCGGTACTAGACGCCAACATGGGAGCAGTTCGAAAGTCTACGTATTCTGCACGACGGCCCGATTTTCGGAGACAACTACAACGTGCCCTGAGCCTGTCCTCTTTTGAAACAGAGGAGACCCGTAGTGCGTCAAAGTCATCCGCTGGTGACACTACCGAGGACCAGCTATCAATTCACTCGGAGAACGATGGATCTAGCGTGCAAAGCGGCAGTGTTGGTCGTAACCACGAGGCCCAGATTGATCCTGCGTTGTTTTCGACTGCTCGGGATGTGGAAAAGATTGAAGGTCAGAGAGATCTTCCTGAAGATCGCGACCTGATTGCCTTGGAATGTGTTGCAGAGTGAGTATCACAGCCGTGACCTTGGAATTACTTGCGCTAAGATTGCATTTGGCAAAGGCTAGATGTCCGAATGAAGTAAGCCGATCTGGGGTGCATTATCTGAGGGAATTTGTGCGCTAAATATTGACATAGGAATGTGGAATCCTCCATGAATAACCAAGAAAGCTTGAATGAAGTGGTCCGCGGTGATTTGGCGAACATCCTCAGTCGATTGGCTATTATGGAGGAGAAAATCAGCAAGGCTGACCCAAACGAGAGGCAGGCTTCGGAAAATCGTCAGACCGAGCGAAGACGGTTTTCGAGACGATAAACGAGACCTATTTCAGTCATCAGCCTTTTGCTGCTCCAGGGATTGATCTCAATAATGGTGACCTCGCTACTTTGTGATTATAAAGGACTATCATAAATTTTGGTTAAAAGACTGGTAAAAATCAACAGTTTAAGTGAATTGACGTTCTGAGTATGGCATTCGCCGATAGCTGATCTATAACAATATTGCGAACTCATGCACTGCATCTAGAACGCGAACCCTTGTAAAAAGGGGAAAGATGTGGTATCCGGAGAACGGCGAGAATTGGAACAGGATGAGTGAGGAAACTCTATATCCGTGCCATAAAACTTTTACGGGATCGTAGATCCCGGTCGATCATGATTACTGTCGAAAGTTTGAAAGTATTTCGGGCACTCTGCCAAGCGGGGAAGGCTAGACTTTGCCTATGATTTCTGTAAGTGCCGACCCACATTGTGCATCGAACGCTCTGAGGAGAATCTGTGAACCTTAATTCGGTGGGTCAGACTCAATTGAGTTTTTGGAGTCATTTAATACGAGGGCCAGACCGCGAACCTTGGTCGGCGGAGGCGCGGAACATCCTCTGGGGAAGAAATTTGTCATTGCGGCGGAAGAGATCTAACCAAAGGCGAAAAAAGTACGGGCCTAGCGGACCCCTTTACCAATTTCCCCCCCGTGCGGCCCGAAGGGCAGGCTTTTTCAAACGTGGGGCGGTCCCCACAACCAGAATGTTATGCGTCATGCATTGCCTCTACAAAGCATAGTTCTAGAAGGACTGTGGTCTACGTAGATTTCTGATATTAGAACATGTCGGCTTTCTTCTAGATAAATCACATTCAACCCTTGGAAACTGACTCAACGGCAAAGATACAATCGCATCACAATTTTACCCATCCACCCTAAAGCAAGGGTGGTGTTTTAGTTTGTAGTTGTTGGCGCTGGCTGGGGCAGAATGGAATATTCGCCAAGCCCAGAAATTTCCGGCAGTGAAGTAGAAACTAGAGGCTCTTGCGCGCTGACTTGAGCAGGCCACGCTCCATACACCACTCCGGAACCTGGCAAATAGGTAGCCAGCTCTCGGTTTTGAATAGCTTCCACACTCCTCCAGAACTGCGTGGCAGCGGATACCAGGTCACCGTGTGCCTGGTACAACGCCGGCTGGATATCATTCCATGGCACTTGGCCCTGCATGGTGGAATTGAAAGACTCAAGCTGCTGTTGCAACTGACCAGCCTCCGTTTGAAATTTTTTTGCTTCGCCCGAGACTTTCTCGTTCTCCGCCAGTACCTTTTTCAATTTGGCCATCTCTTCTGCCTTTTCCATTTGGAGCTGCTGAATTTTCTGGGTACTTTCAGTTCGCTCTCGGTCCTGGTCCTCCCAGACCTTGCAAAGCTCCTTCTGAAAATTGCTCGCCTGCTTCAAGCATTGTCTGTGAATTGATCGACTGTCTTGGCTGTCGTCTTCTCGAGGTCTTTTGTGTGGGGATGACAACTTGCAGTCAAGGTTAACATGGGATCAATTATTGCGAAAAGGGCGAGCAAAAGGCTGCTTTTAATTGAAGGATTCAAGAAGCCGAAGAAACCTACCTGATCCGTAGCTGAGCGCTTGACTGATCGCAGTACACGGTGTTCAGCGGTGTCAGAGGCAGCCGATCGTCGCGAATGAGCTCTTGCTAATTCGCTTAGGTTGAAGTCTGCCTTTGATCTTGAGCTACCATTCTCACTCTGCGTAGACTTAATGTTGGGTCGCATTGTGGAATTGCCCAAGGACAAGTGAAAGTTCGTGAGGAGGAGGAATAAAGATGATAGTTGCTCCCCTTAATGGGAAACTGATCGATTATATATAGGTGATCATGACACAGAATATGAAACATGAGACGACGCTAGCCAGAATTCAGGCCATACAAATGCTGAATTAATATCAAAATGTTGCGCCTTGGTGCCACAGAGACAAACTTACCGATGGCTAAGACGTTAGTGCAGAAGTTAAAATTGACTCTGGCTAGAGAGAAATGTGACCCGCCTGCAGAAACATACAACTTGGGGGAAAAGCATGCAAAATGCACACTACCGTTCTGAACCTGATGGGGAAAATCGCTACACCTCACTTTCATTATGCTCGAAATAAGCTTACAATATTAGTAAAATGACTCAATAAAAATGACAAAGCCACAGCAAATGATCCCACTACAATGTGTCTCTGAACCACCCGAAATGTGGACCCTGGCGTTGAATTTGCCTAAATTCTTTGTAAGGTACAACAGGAACTGTTTCAGATCAATGCTACAACACCTCAAAGCTTAACGCCTACAGGCCATCTAGAGCATCTGCTAGATTTTGACTTTTGTATGGAGGTAAGATAATCAAAGGTATGAGGCTGCCCAAGCCTGTGCATCCGGTCACAATGTGATGATCGAGGGACCTGGCGTGGCGATAGAAATGAGGAACCTCTCTTAAATTTAGGAAATTCCATAACAGCAACTGGATTTATCACAGAGCGTATTGCTAAGATTCGGTTCGTAAACTATTGAAATGCCGTAAAAGAAGATTTCCTTAATTAACGTGCTGAGTTCACGTTAACGGGCATGACCATAGCAGCGCCTACGTAACCACAAACTGAAAGCCCCTGACCCGGGGTAAAAAGCTAGCTCACTCCATTTTGGCCAGTAAGAAATACATTTTACCGCCAGTTATTTTGCAGAGGTCGCCTGCTGCCTGGGTCTTGCTGGCTGTAAAGGACCAGAGTGGGTCAAAATGAAATGGCCTTCGTTCTAGAAGTTTCTTCCAGATAGCGGCCCCTCAAAGCCTAAAACTGTTAATAGGAACCAAATTGACTTGCCCTCTAGGCCATGTGATCTTTTTCAGTTACGAGATTTCCTTAGACAAAATGATTTGTTTCGGAGAGTCTGGGACGGCCATGACCAGGGTAGGAGTTACCCACTTTGAGAGGCCGGAATAAGTAAGAGTCGTGCGTGCTTGACTTCTCAGGGCCCACCGGCATCATCCAAGATGTACAATTCCAAATTCAAAGCCGTTAATTCATGGGAATTGTGATGTAAAACAGCGTGTTCCATGGACCAGCTGTAGGGATTCGTACATGCATTACTTGTCCATTCCATTGTTGACTTCTGGGTTGTTGGAACAGGGGCATTTCCGCCCACAAACCTGCGAATACGATCACTGACAAATATAAGTCCAATGTTTGCTCCCCCATGGATCTCTAGTAAAATAAGTTTTGTGGCTTTACTCGGACAATTCCTCATCATGGTCACCCAGCCCTTTTTCTCCAAACCAAAAAACCCTTAGACTCGAAGGAATTTTAACAAGTACTGATTCGCGGAGATTCGATAGGATGCTGAGTAAAATTAATCGTACTTATTCTCATTCATCTTGTCGTAAAGCGAAATGGCGCGAACAGAGTACATCATGACTTTTGAAGGTGAACTCCCATAGGATATTCTACAAATTGAATTCCATTCTTGTCTGATTATGTCACACAAGTAGGTATAATAATAATTAGGCCTGGACATGATATTTCACTTGATCTTGTTGGTCTCAGTTCACAGCCCTCGTCTTTTCATCCTCGTCCTACACTACCATGGACACAATCATTACCAACTTGCCGCCCAACGTGGGAGCCATCCTCATCGAGAATATCTCCATCATTCAAATTATATCCATGTTTTCCATCGGTGCCTACAACGCCCTGGAGACGGGAATTGCCGTGTTCGACTCGTTCAAACACTACCGCGGGCTGTATTTCTGGAGCATGCAGGTAGCATCATGGGGCATACTGGTCCATACGATCCCAGCTATGATACGATTTCTATCTCAGTCATCCAACCTAGCCATGTCAATTCCATTCATTTTGGGGTGGTATGCCATGGTGACTGGACAGGCCGTGGTACTCTATTCCCGCCTGAATGTGCTCGCGACTGACCCCATGAAGCTCCGCTGGGTGCTGTGGATGATTGTTATAAATTTTTTCGTACTGCATATTCCGATGACGGTACTCTTTTACGGTCTGAATAGTGGTCAAAGCGTGTTCGCTCGACCGGCAGCTATCTATGATCGGATCCAGGTGACCGGATTCTGTATGCAGGAATTCGTTCTCTCCGGGGTCTATGTTCATCAAGCGCTGGAACAAAGGAGCATCAAGCGAGACCTACATCGCCAAGACGACCGGAAAATCATTCGTCATTTACTTTGGATTAATATTCTTGTTGTCCTGATGAATATACTGCTGCTCGTGGCCGAGTACAAGCTTCATTACATCGAAGTCAGCCTCAAAACCGTGGTTTATAGTATTAAGTTGAAGCTGGAATTCACGGTCTTGAATCGCCTGAGAAAGCTGGGATTTACATCACCTCCTCCTCTGGCTCATCAGATACCCGAATACGCCCGACAAGAGAGCGGCGTCAATCTGGTGGGACGATCACGCCTCCACTCACGCCAAGAATCCAACTCCGAATCAGTGCATACGGAGTGTGGGATCAAGGTGCCACCTCGTGTCTCGCAGCGACCTAGTATTCATGCCAATCATGAGGCCAAGTGCGATGCTCAATCTGACGATACGAGAGTCCGGGGTGCGATCCCGTCTTCAAATCAGTTGACGGCTCCCTCAGCCTGCTCCTCAGATCAGTTAACCACGTCCTTGTCTACTCTGGAGTTGAATCTTTCAAACTTTACGTCAAAATTTGACGTGTAGGTCTTGATTTAACGCAGTTAGAACTTTTCTCCGGGTGGAGACTCATAACCGAATGGGTCTCATGTTAGAAATTTGATTGAAGGATGCTCCTTATGCCAGGTATTGGACGCTACATTATATTAATTCTTATGGCATTGATCAACATGAACGAGGCGTTAGATCATGACTCATTCTCGAAATGGGTTTTCTACAACGCCTGGCGTATTGGATTCTGTGAAGATATATAGAAGCGGGGTTTGCCGAGTCTTACCCCGTTGATTCATCGGGATCGGAGCATACATAAAATAGCCGGGAAGTCCTTGGAGACAAAGTACATTTGTTTCTGTTGAGGTTTCAGCAGTCTTCGATACCACTGAGGCTTCCTTGATATATATCATGTGACTGAGAACTTCTGTCGAATCTCAGTCTTCCCTGAGACACGCTAGCTTTGTATGGTAAAGCGGACATTTGGGAAGCGTGTAATAGCACGCTTCCACTCAGGGGTTATCTTAGTTTGATGACACCTTCAATATTATTCAATTGCTGGCATATGCCATTGCTCCTCCTAGATCCCATCCCTCATCTTCACAGTTTCTAACAATATGAATTCATCAGGGTACAGCCTGCTATAACTAGTAAAGATGAATCAAAGTCAAATTTCAAAAGTCGAATAACAGGCTGTGCTTGTCTTACAATCGGCGGTTCTTTTCCGGTACGCGAGAGTACGTCCGAATCATTTCAGCTATCCCCTGTCGTTGCTGCTTTTGTAAAACTTTCATGTGGAGTGGCGACAGGGACTGACAGTGAATGCGACTTGATTGTGAAGCTTTCTCGAAGAAAGCCATGTGGCATTCCTCCGCCTCATCGCAGTTGTCACCTGCATCGGGATAGGCAGAGAGCGTAGACACCCCCCAAAATGCCATATCCTGATTGACTGAGACCATAGCGTAATATTTTTGAGAACAGTCGAGATTAGCAAACGTGACAGATGTCCGGCTATTTGAAACCAATTGTTGTCGACAGCCACAGAGTGCCTTCTGATCCGGAAAGCAAACTAAGATAGAGTGATCAGCCATGGAGTCAACCATTGGTCAGGTGGAAACATGTGTCTCTTGGAGTACCTACCTGAGTGTCCATGAAATAGCGATGAATCGATAGCATCGCAGGTGTCTCCATGAAGCACGATATGATACTCGGGTTTAGACCGATGCGCAGCAAACGAGAATTCGGACACTTTGGTCGTCCGGATGACTGACAGTTGAGCTTTTCCAGATTTGTCAATCGTCACGTAACGGGGCATATAGCGGAGACTGTTTCTCATACACCGAATAACCCAATTCTGAGTGGATCTCGGGAGAGGGAGTTGAGTGTGCATCACAATAAGTGCCTTCCGGCAGAGCTCTTCCAGAAGATGATCGCATAGGCCACTGGATCGGGGCAAATCCTCCTGCGCCAATTTCGACGCAGTGCAAGGAAAGATGCAATGCAGAATAACAGAGTTTTGCCAAATCGGGTCGACGTAAAGGATGTTATCGTCGGGGTGGTAACTTATTGGTACCAAGTCATTCCGTCTCTCCAAACGGATCTCCATATCAGGTGACAAACCGGAAAGGACAACCATGGTATGTAAAACCAAGCGTATCTGTCGCGTGGACACGTTATGGGGATCTATTGATTCGTCGCTTTGTTTCTTTGGCTTCCTGGGTGTCGATGTGGTTGAGATCTGACGGAGTCCACGAGAGGGTCTGGGAACTCGCTTGAGAGAAATATAGCATAATGATGGTTCCTGTCAGAGAAGCATGAGCTGAATGATTGACTAGATTACTCTAAGCCGTGATTGCAATCTCACCGTAAAGAACGCATTTTTTGGGCCGAAATGCTGTGCGATAGATAGGTGAAACGGATAGGTTAGGAGCAACATGACTGATGCACTCGGGGACCTTTTGATCAAAAGTTGCCACATTGATGATAGCTGATCTCGGTGTAGCGCTCCGAAAGACCGAAGAATGTTGATACGGCGGACTAAAATCGAGAACGGATGTTCCAGCCTGTCATTAATGGTGCCAACAAGATTGAAATGCACGACCACAGACACTGGGGGTGGGTACTTTGTCTCGGCTTACCTCGAGAATGGTCCTGGAATAGCAAGCGTTTTTCCGTGGCCTGGTTGGACTGAGTAATTCTTCGGGGCAGAATTCTCAAAGTATTTCGGAAAGACCCTTGCTTGTACCTGTTCATCCGGCAGAGAAGACCTTTCACTGGGTTGGAAATAGCGGCTTTTATGGAGAGGCGGTCGAAATAAATCATCATCTTCTGCTCTTGCGTGAACTGGTCGAGAGAAAGAAAAGGGTGTTCAGAGCGGCACACCATTCCTAAATCGTAACCCCTTAGAGCTCTATCACTGATCAATCGCTCCAAGTAGACCGTCATTTGGAACCTTCCGAGGATTGAACGATACATCCAATTTTGTGGTTGAGAATCGGTAAGGGGAGCACTCAAACTAAGGAGATTAATATGAGATTCAGTTATCCGGCTACTCAGGGTCTTACCATATATCAAGAAAAGAAGACCGTGAATAACGAATAGGCCGAATTAATAATTCGTCCAATCCAACGCGTGATTGGAGATTTGCGGTATGTCTTGTCCACGGGGGGCAACAGTTTTCAGAGCCCATTCTGCCTGTCAAAGTTGAATCGGATAGAAGAGAGCTGAATATCACTTGATCACCTTATGTGTCGTGAAATTCCAGAGCAGGGTTCCTATAGGCGTCGGCTTTATCTAAGTTCCAGAAGTGCTGTGTAGGCGTGGGAATTCCGTCAGACAAGTGCGGTGAAAAGTTGTTCACCGCATCTTTCAACGCCCGATCAGTGCCGTTGAGGAATAACAATGGTTTATCGCCGTTGAATGTCTGGGGCCGTCAACGTGCAAGAAGTACGACAGGGCCTTAATCCAAAGTGATCATAACCAAAAGCTGATTTGGAATTTCACGGGATAGCAGATTAGAGACGGTAAACCTCAACGGTGTGTACAAGACTGACTATTGCCCAGGAGAGCACTAAGTACGGACAACATCTCTCCTTTTCGCCGTTGCACCTATACGTTATTGTCGATTGCAATTTTCTAGGTGGGTTAAAAAGGCAAAAATGGTTCTTGGGAGACTCTAATTACAGGGATGCGGCTTGGATCAGTCTTCCATCTGCAGATCCTCTGGACTTTCGGTTGCTGTCTTCCCCGCTGTTACTTCCAAAACTTGAATTGCCTTAGCAATTCTGACTTGTGAACTCAATAGCTCGTTCCTCAAATTGCTGTTTTCGAATGTCGAATTTTCTAGCTCGTTGCGAGTGTGAGAGAGGGCTTGTTCTAGTCGGTTATTTTCGGCCTGTGACTGGTTCAGATGTTCATGAGCGCAGCTCAACTCTTCTTTCAGCTTGGAAATTGCAATTTCAAGCCGCAAAATCGTTTCTGTAAAAGAACTCGAACATGGTCCTGCGATCTGACCCTAGATTTTAAAGTGTTAGAAACCACGCTAACCACTCTGGAAGAATCTGGGCTTGCCTCATTCGCTTTGTCCTTTGCGGTGCCTTTCAAGACCTGCACAGGAACCGCTTCAAGAGAGCGCCCCAATTCCTCGCAGATGGATTGATAGAACCAAAGGTTGCCGCTACTGAGGCTTTTTTTCAAGAGTGCGGCACTCGTGCCCGTGGCTGACCAAGAGTAACCGTCACCTGGGAGGGGTTGCAACCGGACCTGGCCAGGTGCTATGGTGAGACCCAGTCGCTCATCCACGAAGAGGTTAGCAGTAATTTGAGAATCATCATGAGATCGAAACTTACAGATGTGGGTGGACATGGCCTCGCGACACCTGATTCTCAAGAGTGCTCGCTTAGAACTACTGGCTCTAGTCATTTTGGCTTTCCGATGTAACTGATGCTGTCGATGGGTAGCAGGCAAGAGCAGCTGCAGGAACACATCATAGTTTTATAGAAGCTTGAAGCCATTAGATTGGCTCTAGATATGATAGTGGGCCTATAATCTTACCACTTACCATCGCTTTTCCTGTCCCAACTAACGTTTAACCGTTGAATACCCGTACTTTCCTGACTGTCGGGATGAATGGCCCTCCGACCTGATGGCCCCTATCTCTAGGTAGCACACCTCGAATGAATGAGGGTAGTGTACCGCATAAAAGCCTGTAGCTCTCTGGTTTGAGACGTCATTTTTATTGCTGAAACACTCGCTATATGTCACAGTCAGAAATGATATTTGGTAGAATTGGAAGCAAACAATTCAAGCTTAGCCAGGTTGGGTGGTTTCATGTCTCTCGAATATATATAGCAAGATAATTTCACCTTCGTCTCTTCGCTATTGATTCAAGTCGTGATGTCTCCCAGTACTCGCCAGGCGCTTCGAAAGAGCCCAAATAATATGTCCGACCCGGAGAAAGTCCCGCTACTGGAGCCATCCAATAATGTGAAGGAACTGGAAGCAACCGGAGATGAAAACCTTCAGAGTCGGTATCGGAACAATGGACGTGACTCCAAGTCTTCCTACTCAAACACTCAGACGATAATTCGAATGCGCCTTCGTCCAGGGCCGAATGGGCCACGTCTCTCCTTTCTGACCATCTCTAAGGAAGGGACTAAGAAGAAAAGTGGATTTCAAAAGATCCGCAGTCACGTCGAAAATACGAATCCCGAAGAAAAACGACACGATTGGATGAGACGACTGCGCCCAAAGCCTCATCGCTGCGCCAGCTAGCGACCGACGTCTCCCTCGACACACAGTCTATCCTCTCTTTGAGTTTGGATGTATTACAGAAGATAGTTTGTATTGGTATGTGTACACAGTTAAGACAGTTTATGCTTCTAAGCAAAAGTTGATTGATTCGTATAGGATAGATGTGTCATCCAAGTCCTCATCCAAGGCCCCTGAATCCATGCGGCGGGAGCCGCAGCTAGTAAGAATACGTACAACATGTCTTTGCTCATTCTGACGGGAGGATATGCCCGACATTTTGGAAT